GTCCGACATTCTTTAGGGTACGGTATTTCTGGTGTCTTATTAGACGGCGGCAGCTTTTTTGTGACTCGTCGTCACAAGAATTGACAAAACAGTTATTAGAAATTGCAGAAAAAGGGGAAAAGGTTTATTGCCGATATTCAGAAAAAGATGGGCTCGATTCTCGAAGAGATTGGTGGAATTGCTAGAGAGATTTTCGGGAATGAAACTCCGGAATATCGAGGCTTTGAGGTTCAAACCGCCATACGAGATTGCATAGAAAGGTTTGATTTGGAAAAAGCACAATATATATTAAATTTAGACTTAAAGCATCAAAAGCGAGCTGCGTTGACCCGGGTGTATCATGTTTTGAAGAAGTTTTTCTCTTGGATGATTGGTGGTTAGCTGAACCGACAGAAGAAAGTTATTATATTATATTGTAAAAAGAAAATTTCAATCATTTTTGATAACAATAATAAATAATAAATGATTTGTGATTGATTTTTCTTTTGAATTTGATCAAATGCGTTGGCAACTTTCATTTGAAGAACGTTGATTTGGATGGGGATTGATATTTGGATAGATTTTGATAGTGGTGGATGGCGTTACAGCTACCGTAACCCAGTTAGTTATGATCATTGTAAGATCAACTAGTTTGGAGATAGAAGATGCAATGCCTAAGATCAAGCCATAAAGATCTGAGCCGGATTACGGTAACTGGAGTATGCTGGAGTATGCTGGAGTATGCTAGAGCATGCTGGAGTATGCTGGAGTATGCTGGAGCATGCTGGAGTATGCTGGAGTATGCTGGAGCATGCTGGAGTATGCTGGAGCATGCTGGAGCATGCTGGAGCATGCTGGAGCATGCTGGAGCATGACGGCATTTGGAAAGTATTCTATGCCAGACAATAGTTTCCAGACTTGCTCTAAGTGTACTTTGTGCTCAAAAGTTGTAAACGCATCCTTTCGAGCGCACTGAACTCGTCATTTTCTCAATGGCACAAAGCCAGCAAGGATTTATTGGGTTGATGGAAAAGTCCTTTCGGATTTTTTGGGAGAGTACCTTAAATTTGTCCAATGACGTTTTATAGCTCATCCTAAAGCTGAATTCAAGACGGATCGATTGGTAAAAACCGTTTAGAGATATCTCTTTTCTAAAAGTTTTTACAGCTATTTTAGTAAAGGGCGGCAGAGCCAAAGAATGGCTGTTTTCACGTTTCGTTAGTTTTCCGTGCAGAAACCTAGGCTAAAAACATGTGTTTCAATAGAATTTTAAAGCACACAAAAGAAATGTTTTATTTAAAATGTTTTACTTACAATGTTTTACTTATAAATTCTCAATTTTTACTTCAATCTTTGTTGTTTTCAAATAAAAGAATTCTCTATTTTTTTTGCTGTAAAATATTTTGCTGTATCCAATTTTCTTTCTCTTTTTCCAAGAACTATTCACATTTTTTTTTAATGAAAATTACAGGTTTGAAAGAGATTATTTTAAAAAGATTTTCAAATCATTTAAAAATGATTTTAAAATTATTTATTTTTCTTAGAAATGTAAACACAAAAGGGGAAAAAATCAAGTACAATATTCAGAGAATTTTCAAAGTTTCCAATATAAAAAATTAACACCAAAAATCCACTAGAATACATTTTGGAAACAAAAAAAAAGCCTGTAAAAAAATTTCTTTTTATTTCTTTTCATTTCTTTATGCAAAAATTGCGTGTCCGGAGTTTTTGAGAGAAATTTTTTGGGGTTTTTCATCATTTACATTTCTCATTTGATTCAAGAGTTTAGCTATGGCTTTTATTGAGAAATTTTCGTGTTTTGAGAGACTCTTTTTAACATTGAACTTTATAAAACGCAAGGATTTTGTATTTTGTAGTCTAAACCTACCGTACCATGTGATTTGAAATGATTTTTGTAATTGTTTTTGATCGCTTCATTTCTGTGATTGATTTTTCTTTTGAATTTGATCAAATGCGTTGGCAACTTTCATTTGAAGAACGTTGATTTGGATGGCGATTGATATTTGGATAGATTTTGATAGTGGTGGATGGCGTTACAGCTACCGTAACCCAGTTAGTTATGATCATTGTAAGATCAACTAGTTTGGAGATAGAAGATGCAATGCCTAAGATGAAGCCATAAAGATCTGAGCGGATTACGGTAACTGGAGTATGCTGGAGTATGCTGGAGTATGCTGGAGTATGCTGGAGCATGCTGGAGTATGCTGGAGCATGCTGGAGTATGCTGGAGTATGCTGGAGCATGCTGGAGTATGCTGGAGTATGCTGGAGCATCTCGGCATTTGGAAAAGTATTCTTTAACAAATTGTTTTTGATCACTTCATTAGCTATGAACAAGCTGTGATCATTTTTTTTATAAATAGACTGCAATCTGTGACTTTCTTTGATTCAAGAGCTTAGCTTCTAATTTAATTGAGAAATTTTCGTGTTTGGAAACTTCTGTTTTGTTCTGTTAGTTTCATTGTTTTAAATCTTTTCAAAGAGATCAAAACTCAATTTTTCAAAGTATACAGGGTGCGTCATAATTATTGCAACAAGAGTTCAAAGACCGTTTGTGATGCCAAGAATGTGATGTCATGGGCGTGTAAAGCCAATAACAATCAAAATTGGACCTTCATGCAAGATGGAGCTCCCGCTCACACGAAGAAGACGGTTCAGGACTAGTGTGTGGCCAACTTTCCCTCAGTGATCACCAAGGATGAATGGCCTTCAAACTCACCGGATCTCAATGTGATGGACTTTTCCATTTGGGCAATCTTAGAGGCTAATGTCTGCTCTTTGACCTCGAAGAAGTCTTTGACCAAAGGATGGAAGGTGACTCCACAAGATGACATTCGGGCCGCAGGGGAGGCATATCCGAACCGATTGAGGGCTGTTATGAAGGCAAAAGGCGGTCATATCGAATGATCTCTTGTTTCCTTATTTGTTACTGTCAAATAAAGCTATTTCTGTTTAAAGAATCTTCTTCCAGTGAAACTTCTTGGTGTGCAATGCCTTGAGTATCTTGTTGCAATAATTATGACGCACCCTGTACAATTGGGTGTTTGAACTAATTCATGAATCTTTCGCTGTTTATTGGTTGAGCCAGTACATCAGAGGCTACATTTTTATCTACAAGTTTTTTTATGGTAGATTTTTTGCTTACTCTTTTGACTCAACCAGTACTTTCTGTATTATATAATAAGTTTTCATTTATTTATGATTAAATTATAAGATTTATGAAAAGTAAGTTAAGTAAAAGTAAAAGCTAAGTAAAAGCTAAGTAAAAGTAAAGTAAAAGTAAAGTAAAAGTAAGTAAGAGTTAAGTAAGAGTTAAAAGTAAGTAAAAGTAAAAGCTAAGTAAAGGTAAAAGCTAGGTAAAAGCAAAAGTTAAGTAAAAGTAAACGCTAAGTAAAGATAAAAGTCAAGTAAAAGGCTTGTACTAGTCTCAAAAAGTGATAAATGAGTTTTCTAAAACCTATCAACTCTCAGAGCTATCGTAATCGTATCTCTTTTTATCCAATCAATATATTTTTATCTGTTTTTGTGAGAGTTCACAAAGCTATCGAATGATTTAAAAAAAATAAATACAGTACTGGACAATGAAATATGATATTTGAAAAACGATCGTCACTTTCGCGCGTCTGTAACTCCCTTGTCTTTGAGTTTAAACTATTAGTGTTATACATTTTCTAAAAGTTCTTTTCAAGGGCTACACAATGGTAATATTAATATTTAGAAATACGGTAAAGACAAGGGAGCTACAGACGTGCGAACGTGACGATCGTTTTTCAAATATCATATTTCATTGTCCAGTAGTGTAGATAAAGCTAGAGAAAGATTACGGTAATCGAGAAAATTGATGTTTTAGAAAGCGTCCAAAAGCAGGCCCAGACTTTGAGTTAAAAGCTAGAATTAAAAGCTAAAATTACATACGAAAACTTGAATTGAATACGTACTTGAATATTTGAATACTTGAATTACTTGAATTACTTGAATTCAAGTCTTCAACTTACTTTAATCTTACTGTCAAAATCTTACAAATGCTCTTTCTAATATATCAAGAACAAGCTACAATATAAGCGTTTAGAAATATCATTTTCCAAACTGGAGCATGCTGGAGCATGTCGGCATTTGGAAAAGTATTCTTTAACAAATTGTTTTTGATCACTTCATTAGCTATGAACAAGCTGCGATCATTTTTTTGTAAATAGACTGCAATCTGTGGCTTTCTTTGATTCAAGAGCTTAGCTTCTAATTTAATTGAGAAATTTTCGTGTTTGGAAACTTCTGTTTTGTTCTGTTAGTTTCAATCTTTGAATACTTGAATTACTTGAATTACTTGAATTACTTGAATTCAAGTCTTCAACTTTTTTTAATCTTACTGTCAAAATCTTACAAATGCTCTTTCTATTGCTCAATAATATATCAAGAACAAGCTACAATATAGGCGTTTAGAAATGTCATTTTCCAAATCTCAAGGGATAATTTCAGTTCTCAAATCTTTCCCTTTCCAAATTCATTTTTAATCATTCTCCTTTTTTTTTGTTTTCTCATCTCTACATACATTTATTTTTTGATTTCTTGGCAAAAAGGAATTTCCCTGATGGTTTGATCATTGGGATTTTAAAAACGGAAAGCTTTTTACCTACTTTCACCCATTTATCAAATAACTTTTGATTTCTGTTGTAGGGTCTTTTAAAATATTTTAAAATATTTTTGAATAATTTGCATTTTAAAAGGCTTAAAGATTACCGTAGTTATCGTATTTTCAATTTTTTCTTGTTTAATCTAGAAAAATTTTACTCGAATTCTATTTGATGACCTGGCTACAGTGCCCTCAAACTCTAGTGTCCAGTCGTTTTGTGGCAAAGCCTAAGATTAGATGACTGCTTCTTCGTGAGCATACAATAGATTACTGCTTTTCCGTGACCTGGGTGCAGTACCTAAACCTCTAGGGTACTGTAGTTTTATGTTGGGGTTTAAGATTGCGGTAATGGGTTTAATATTTTTTTCAGTTCGATGGCAACAAATGATTATATTCCGCTTGATTTGGCCAATCTTCATCCACCGGATGAGAGTTTGTGTGAAGCGGCCGGGCAACTTGGTCTATTCACACTGTACTTGATACAGGTTAGTGTAGGTAGGCTTAGGCTTAGGCTCAAGCGTAGGCTTAGGCTCAAGCGTAGGCTTAGAGAAGTAGACATGGGCACTACAAACTACAAGGTCAGACTATAAACACTTGTAGAAACGCGTAGAGTAGTTATTTTTCAAAACTGTTTTTACCAAAAAGTGTTTTTACCAACTTTAGGCTTTTGAATGACACTAAAACCAGGAAAATCCACCATTTGTACTTGGAGAACGAGCCATTTATAGCCGTTTGTAGTCTCGCCCTCTGGGATGAGACTACAAACCTAAAAAAACGTTATATCTCAGGGCAGAGAGCATGATTTGGCTTGATTTTAATGTCATTTGAAAGCCTAAAGTTGGCCCAATTTTTTGGTAGAAAATGTTTTCAAAAATATCTATTCTACGCGTTTCTACAAGCGTTTGTAGTCTGATCTTGTAGTATGTAGTGCTATTTCTAATCTAGAGTGCTTTTTCTTGGCAATCCGTCTTCTAAAATGCATTTATATTAGAAAACTACCGTAATCAACTAGCCAGTTTTCATTTGACCCAAATTTTGATATCATTGGTTGAGCGGTGTGATTTCTCATCGAATCATACGAAAATTGAGCGATCAAAATGAAAACTACCGTAAATACTGTAATTGGACCCCACTGCCCATAATGACGGTCTAGCTTTGAACGAGTTTTTCTCGACACTGGTTTATGCTACAATGCTCGTTTAGGTATCAAAAAATAGCTGAAATTCAGGGCTATTTTTTGATACCAAAGACGCATTTTTTGAAAGTACGGGCGCTTTGAAAACGATGAAATACTTTTGCTAGAAAACTTTTGCGACTACGCGACTGTACGAGGGGGGTGGGGTACTTTTGCAGTATTTACGGTAGCTACTATTGTGTACTACAGTATTTACGGTAGCTACTCATTACAGTAGCCAAATCTCCACTTTAGAAAAGGATTATGATAGCGCTGGCTCCGTAGTCTGTAGTCGGTAGGTTTATGGATATTTACGGTAGCTAGTTGATATGGCAATTTTCTAAAATAAATCCCTTTTAGAAAGCACAGAGTTGAGAGGAAAACGCCCTTTTTTTGATGAAATTCACTTTGTGCTTGGTGCTGTAAACAAACGCTTTCTGGTGCACTAAAGTCTTTTTTAGGCAGAAATGAAAAGAAGAAAAGTGTGTTTCCGAGGGCACAAAGTCTTGAGCACAACTTTCACAAAAAGATCAACTTTTCAGAACAATCTCAAAGTCGTTGTCAGTCTAACTGCAATGTTTTTGATTTTTTATTTCTTTAAGAAGAGAAAATTTCGGATTCACGACGAAACAAATGTAAGTTTTTAAAAAAAAAATAAAAATCTCAGGTTTAAATGATTCTTTCAGAAGTTGATTACTTTCAAAATGGGTCTCCTTTTTGTTTACGCTATGAACAATTGCATATCACATGTGAGTAACTACAAAACTACAAAGTAAACTAGAAAGTAAACTACAAAGTAAGCTAAAAAGTAAGCTAAAAAGTAAGCTAAAAAGTAACCTAAAAAGTAAACTACAAAGTAAACTACAAAGTAAACTTCAAAGTAAACTAGAAAGTAAACTACAAAGTAAACTACAGAGTAAACTATAAAGTAAGCTACAAAGTAAGCTACAAAGTAAACTACAGAGTAAACTATAAAGTAAACTACAAAGTAGACTATAAAGTAAACTACAAAGTAAACTACACAAACTTGTAGAAACGCGTAGAATGACAATTTTTAAAACTTTTTTTACCAAAAAATCGAGCCAACTTCGAGGCTTTTGAGTAAATGAATTGTTTGTTTTTTTTCTTTTTCTTTCTTTCTTTCTAATTCTTTTCCAATTTAGGGTCATCTCTTGGTGTTGAGAGTTTTCTTTGGCGGTCAACCATGTATGTTTGTTTTCTCCGCGATCTATTGTCTACCACTGAAAATCATTCATGTGAGTTGTTCTTCTCGAGCGCTTGCTTTCTAAAAAGTGATAACTTTTGAAAACTACCATTGAAAACTACCATTCTTGTTAGTTTTTTTTTCAACTTTATCTATTTTTTTGAATTCTATGATATCTTTTATTTAAACCCTCAAAAATTAAACCAAAAATAGATCAATTGAAGAAAAGATTACCGTATTTTCTGTAATAGTAGTGCAGTCTGTAATAGTAGTGCAGTCTGTAATAGTAGTGCAGTCTGTAAGTGGCAGGAGGGGGGTTGAAAAAATAGTAGTGCGCACTACTATTACAGAAAATACGGTATCATAGTTTTCAAGAGTTTACAAATTTTTGAATACGAATTAAACCAAATCCAACTACCGTAATTGAGTCTAAAACTCTATGCCAGAGCTCTTTAAATCTTTATCTCTGTTAATAGTTAATCTTACGGTAACCAACTGCTTGAAGTATGGTACGCTTTAACACATTCACGACGAGGTTCTTTGATTTTTGATTAAGTTTTAAGTTCTTTCCCTTCCAACTCGTCTAAAAACGTTCACAGGCACCGGATTCACTTAAATTAGAAGTTAAAATAAAGAGAAATCTTTGAGGATCATTTATCTGAAAATCGTTTGAAAAAATATTGACTTTAAAGAGAGTTATGAACATTTGAATGCAGATCCTGGGTCATCGGTGACGGGTTTCTCATGCTAAAACATTCTGAACTTTCTTCAAACTAAATATTTCTTTAATCTGTTTTCAGATAAATCATCCTCAAATATTTCTCTTCATTTTAAGCCTGAACTTAAGTAAATCAGTTGATTGTGAACGGTTTTAAACAAGCCGAAAGGGGAATAACTTGCACAAAATCAAAAACCTTATCGTGAATGTGTTAATAAAAAAAAAAGGAAGAAAATCTGAATGCAATATATTTGGTGGTCCGAAGATTTCAAATAGCTAAGGTTTTCTATAACTTCTTTTGACGATATCAATCTTTATAACGATTTTTTTTTCTTTAAAGGACACAGCTTCACGAATTTGGTTAAATGGCCTTAAAATTTGTATTTTATTCTAAAAAAATAAGAGAAAAAAGCTGGGGTACTAGAATAAACTTGAAATGATCATCCGGTGTTGATTGGAGTGAGATATTGAATTGGAGATCGATTGGAGTGAGATATTGGATTGGAGATTGATTGGAGATCGATTGGAGATCGCTTGGGGATCGATTGGAGATCGATTGGAGATCGATTCGAGATCGATTCGAGATCGATTGGAGATCGATTGGAGATCGATTGGAGATCGGTTGGGGATTGATTGGAGATCGATTGGAGATCGATATTGGATTGGAGATCGCTTGGGGATCGATTGGAGATCGATTGGAGATCGCTTGGGGATCGATTGGAGATCGATTGGAGATCGCTTGGGGATCGATTCGAGATCGATGGAGATCGATTGGAGATCGATTGGAGACGATTGGAGATCGGTTGGGGATTGATTGGAGATCGATTGGAGATCGATATTGGATTGAGATCGCTTGGGGATCGATTGGAGATCGATTGGAGATCGCTTGGGGATCGATTGGAGATCGATTGGAGATCGCTTGGGGATCGATTCGAGATCGATTGGAGATCGATTGGAGATCGATTGGAGATCGATTGGAGATCGGTTGGGGATTGATTGGAGATCGATTGGAGATCGATATTGGATTGGAGATCGATTGGGGATCGATTGGAGATCGATTGGAGATTGATTGGGGATTGATTGGGGATTGATTGGGGATCGATTAGAGATGGATTGGAGATTGCTTGGGGATCGATTGAAGCTCGATTGGAGATCGATTGGAGCTCGATTGGAGATCGATTGGAGATCGATTGGAGATCGATAAGATCCATTTGAAACTGTTTGTTTTGTTTTTGCGTCAACATTGGCTTCACAACAACCGTTTTTCCTTGGATCTCCTCTTTTCAACTCGCATTCTTCACACAATTTGATGATGATTGATGATTTCTCTAAAGACAAAGACAAACAAAAAAAATCTAGTCTAAGTCATTAAGCGATAAGTCAAATAATAAAGTCAAAAAGAAACTAACTTTGAAATACCTTAGTATTTCAAAAAACTTAGTATCCTTTGCCTTTGCCACATCAATTTTATTGTCCAAGTTTCAAAGAAACATTTCCTTTGAGATCAAATTTTGAGTGGTCAAAAGCTACAGTTAAACCTCGATTTAACGATCTCAATTTTTCGTCCCTTGAACGCTTTTTTACCTTATAAAGACGTCGATTCAACGATGGAGAATCCCGATCTCTTGAGAATCGTTAAAACGAGGTTTAACTGTATTTTAATACTTGCAAAAAGTCAAAGTTCGCGACTCAAAGTAGAATTTCAGCTCTGCGTCTCGACTTGTCTCTCCACGACTCTTTTCATGATTCTTCTTGAGCGTGCCATTGTCGTCTTTTCTCAGCATCATTCCCCATTAAGCAATTCGGTGGCGAAAGGCTTCATTTTTCTTGAAGTTATTCAACTTTTTGACTTAAACATGGAACTTTAGCTTCTCGGCATGATCGGTATCATAAGTTGGGCTTTGTCTACAGAGCTTCGTTATGATTTTCAAGTTCTTCACTGTATGGAGGATACGCCAGTGAGTGGGCTGCTACGCCTAGCTGTACTAGTACAGTAATAGACATGGGTACTACAAATTACAAGCGTAAACTATAAACGCTTCTAAATTGCTTCAAATCTGCCGCCTTGACATGATCTATAGCTCAAAAAATAGAGGATTTCAAGAGCTTTCGAATGAACTAAAGCAAAACGCAAAATATCTATGCTAAAGAAAGTTACAGTGGTTTATAGTAACGACTACGGCCCGTCCACTTCGACTACGGTCCGTCAGGCTACAAACCACTATAACTTTCTATAGCATTAATAGTTTTGAATGTGCTTTAATCCATGCGAAAGCTCTTGAAATCCTCGATTTTTTTTGAGCTATAGATCGTGTTAATCCGTCAAATTGTTTAGACAAGCCTTCCACTAGTAAATTTGATGTCCGAATTTTGCATTGCCATCGACACGATCACCCTCATTTCGGCAATTCTTTTGGTGGTCTATTGTCGGCGGAGGATCAAGAAAAGGTGCTTCAATAATTTGTAAGTGAAAATATGACCAAAAAATACAACACTAAAAGCACTATTCTTCATTTAAAAAAGCACAGAAGCTTACGAATTATGCTTTGACAAAGCAAAAGCTTACGAATTATGTTTTGACACCTTTTCTAGGCTTTTCTAGGCATATCGATTCTCTGCACTACTCCTACTCATTGCGGTATTCGGAGATCGTCTTGCAAGTGGGTTTAGACATGGATTTGAAGCTTTGGCGCCTGGATTTGGTGTAGAAAGTAGAAAATAGATTAGCTAGCTAGCTGAAAGATACGCTACAATACCCCTCATTGCTTACTTATTCAGGGTTTCCTCCCAATCATCATTTACCATACTCTTATCATCTATTTCTTCAACGGTTTTTCCCTTATTCAACGCGGTATGATTATCTCGGATTACGTCACTCGGAAGAGCATTCAGGGACTCGGAAATGTAAGACGATTTCTATTTGCATTTCTATTTAAAATTTGCACACAAAAATTAATTAAACCAAGTACGCTGAAAGACAGTTTTTATGCGAAAACACTTGATTGAATATTTTTAATCTCTAGAGAATTTGTGTGTTTGCTAAAAAAAGGTAAAAATTACGAGTTAGGGAAAATTAGAGATTGTACTTTCGAAAAGGACTGATTCATTGGAAATGTTAGGAAAATTTTAGATTTTGCCATATTACACATTGACATGTCCGATTTTGTACGTTTGGGTGTTGGGGAAGTTGAGAGAAAGGTGGGCTGGTGTTCTCTAAAGTGTACTTTGTGGTGCTTGATTTACATCAAGTTTCTGCTGTAATGAATTTCATTTTTTTGTAGCTGGAGCTTGTGCTTTGTGCTCGAAAAAGGAAACGCATTTTTCCTAGTGCACTGAGTTCTTTATTTATTGGAACCGTATTGGAACCGAATTAGATCAAAATAGGAACCGTATTGGAACGGTATTGGAACCGTATTGGAACCAAATTAGATCAAAATAGGAACCCTATTGGAACGGTTTAGATTGGAACCGTATTGGAACCGTATAGGAACCGTATTGGAACGGTATTGGAACCGTATTGAGCCCTTTGAGCATTCCAATTTCATCATTGCCTCATTTCTGGGGTAGGCTAGTTTCCGCAAAAAAGTTACGGAAACTAGCCTACCCCAGAAATGAAGCATTCATGAAATTGGAATGCTCAAAGGGTAATTATGATACCAATAATTACTCAAGATCTTGCATTAAAATTTACTTTAGATAAGCTCAAAGTCAGACAGAGGACAGGCAAAATTTCTGTCTACCGTAAAACCGTATTGGAACCTTTTAGATCAAAATAGGAACCGTATTGGAACCGTATTGGAACCTATTTTTCTTGTAACACCAAATCAGAGGCGTGTCCAGAATTGACTTTCAGCCTAACAGCCCGGCTTCTTCGAGGCTACCGCCAATCAATTTCCGACTAAGGAATTATATTTTTTTAAAGATTTTAGACATGAATAATTGATTTTAGCAAAGCGCTACAATTCTAGCTAACTGTTACTATTGTTAAAATTTATTCTAGCTAACAAAACTAATTTAATGATTTTCAAAAAAGTAGAGAAAATTTGATTAGGGCCGACCAAAATAAAAAACGATTTGCCATCTAGTTTTCGACATTTTCGCAATGAAAAATTGAAAAAACTCAAAACAAGTGTAAATGGCCAACCTCAAATGCGAATTACGATGATTTTTCTTTCAATTTTTCAATTTTTCACTTTTAGACGAGGCTCCGAATTCTCGAAAAGTCAAAAGCCGAAACTTCACGGAAAAGTCGTCCCAATTGGCGAGGTTTATTACGAGAATTTGCGGATTTTGTGGACGAAATAGAATAAATAATTTATTATGAACATAAAAATCCTATCAATGTAAAAATAAACCTACATAAATAGTCACGAATAATAAGTGTTTCAAATTATTAATTTTTTGGGCGCTCAAGAGGTCCACAACCGGAAAGGAACATTGGAAGTGATTAGAGAGAAAAAACAAGGGGAGCAGATTTATTCAAAGTTTAGCGGCTGCCTCTAAATGGCTTCTGGCTCAGTGGCTAGAGCGTTAGCCTGCCAGCTGCCAGGGCGGCAAGGGACCAAAGTTCGAGTCCTCCTTCGGCTGCACCTTTTTCATTTTTTCCACTAACTCTGGAAAAATCTGCTCAAAATCATTAAAAAGAAAAATTGAGATCTCCAATAAGCACAGGGTGAGGCGATATGGTACCAAACTATCGACAAAATAGGGGAAAATTGCAAAATCATTTAAAAAAATGAAAGAATTGAGATCTTCTAAAGATATTCAGGCAATTCATACAGCAAAAAGGGCAGTGTTTATGCAAAGAAGAAAAGAGTCATATTTGTGAAAAAAAAAGACACCGCTTTTTATTTATAAGTGCTTAATGTATTGAGTGTGCTGAATGAGTGCTGAGTCAAATATTGCTCTATGAAAGCTCGTTTCTCTTCTTTTTCTAAAAGCATTTCGTCTTCAAGATTTAGCTGATCACCGGGTAGCCGATGTCCATCGAAACTGAAAAATGAGATATAAGGAAAGGCTCGAGATTACGGTGAAGTTACTATAAAATTCGAGTTTAGCCTCATTTCCGGATTACTGTAAAGAGATCAGTTCGTTTTCTAAAAGCTGGCCAACTTGGAAAAGCTAATCTTTTCGTTTTGCCCGTTTCACTCAATTTTAATCCCATTCACAGTTTGATTCTTCATCAAATAAGGAAAAAGATGAATTCGAAAAGAGAAAATTTGAATGAAAGATTGACTCTTTCCAAATTATTCAATTTTTAAACACTTTAATAGCAATAAAAAACTGGATTTCAAGCAAAACTTTCACTTTTTCTTTGTATTAGTTTTAAGCAAAAGATTTTCAAAAAGCTGTAAAGGATTTCCTTTAATAGTAATTGACTAAAATTTTGTTAGCTTTTAAATTTCTCAGACTTACTTGGGTTGTAGTGAAATCCTTGTTGTGGAATACGGCTTCGATCGACCGGGATGTTGATCTAGAAATTTGTTACTATTGTTAGCTAGAATTGTAGCGCTTTGCTGAACGTAACTGTTCTCAGTAAAACATTAGCTGTTTGTACTAGTTTGAAAATTTCAACCTAAACTTAATTCCATCTTCGTTTTCTCAGCCGTCTCTTGGCCGATTGCCCTGAAATTTTGTTTACAAATAGAAATTGGCCTGCTCTGCTTGACAAAATTTCAGAGCAATCGGCCGAGTCTACAAGTAGAGTAGGCCAGTTTCTATTTGTAGACAAAATTTCAGAGCAATCGGCCGAGTCTACAAGTAGAGTAGGCCAGTTTCTATTTGTAGACAAAATTTCAGAGCAATCGGCCGAGTCTACAAGTAGAGTAGGCCAGTTTCTATTTGTAGACAAAATTTCAGAGCAATCGGCCGAGTCTACAATTAGAGCAGGCCAATTTCTGTTTGTAAACAAAATTTCAAAGCAATTAGCCAAAAAAAAGGCCAAGAAAACGGCCAAGAAAACGGAATTAGGTTCGGCTTGGAATTTTCGCATTTCTATTTTGTATTACCTGATGTCTTGCAAGTGATGTTCTTTCACACGGCTGCAATGGATACCAACGAGGACTGCTCGAGAGGACTCCACGTTCTAGATAATTTACATAAAATAGAAATTAGCATTTAAAGAATCTATACAAATTAAGTAAATTTCAGCTTAATGAGAGAAAGAATTTATGAAATTTTAAAGTAGAAAAAGTTATAGAAAAAGATCTTGGTTCAAAGGAAGTTTAGAAAGAATTCTTCAGAGAAAAGTACAGTAAACCTTTGAAATTAACATTTAAAGATCCAAAATCTGTAAATTTTCTTACCCGCTAACGAGACAACGACTTGTCCGAGAGCGTTGTTTTCTGTGAAACGATCGTAGTCCCAAAGAGAAAACTCAAGATAATGAGAATGGAGAGCGGTTGATGGGACATCGTACTCCACCTGGAACATAATAAATATATAAAATGTAATTGTAATTAAGTTGAAAACTGACCAGTTGATTCCATTCGGGATCCACGGACGAGGGCACAAAACGGGTGCGACGCTTGTGAGAGACCCTGAAATAATGTGAGGTAACTTTTGAAAATCTAATAGAATTTCTAAAATTAGCACAACACTGATGCTCACTTTCTTCCTGGCAACAAGTAGATCTTGACAAATGGATTGGGTAAAGGATTCGCTCGATGCCCGTCTCTCATTGGCAATCCCCTTGCAGAGAGAACTCGCACAATGAGTCTCGATGTGGCTCTCTCGTAGTGCATGGCCACTTCAAGATGGCCGAGTTGACCGGGTTGACTGGGTTGACCGGGCTAAATATGGTGGTAACAATTACTAAAGCAAAGATTGTCAGGGTTTTAAAGCCGCAGCATTACAAGTATAGTGTGTAAAATTTAAAATAAAAATGATCAATAGATAAAAGAGCAGTGTCTGTCTGTTTGTTTGTTTGTCTGTCTGTTTGTCTGTCTGTCTGTCTATTTATCTGTTTGTCTGTATGTTTGTCTGTCTGTCTGCCTGCCTGTCCGTCTGTCTGTTTGTCTGCTCGTCTGTTTGTCTGTCTGGTTAGCTGATTTTAAAGTTCCCTTCGTAAAAAAACCTTATTCTGAGCCGAATAGCCGATTTGTTGAGTCCATTGAGGCTCTGGTGGGTAATCGTTGATGAAATTGTTGTTTAATTGATTCATTCTTCCATTCCCATTGTTTCCATTCATTGATCGATGAGTGGGCACTGGAGGGGCGGCTTCGGGTGAATGATCTGAATAGGATTGAGTTACAAAGAAGTTTTGTTGATTTTATTTAAAATTTCCATTCAAACCATTTCTAGATCTTGTCTAGAACTTCAAGAACTTATTTAAAATAATTCTTGAACTCACCGCGATGTGGAACCGGTTCGTAGATGCGATCCTTATCAACGAAATCGATGTGTTGCAAGCAACCGGGTGGGCAGGGTCTGGAAAATTCTTGGCTTTATTGATAAATGGTAATTTTAAGATCGTGAAACTTGTACGGTATTGTTAAAAACTCACGTCTTTATAATCAGCTCGACTTCTCCTTTGGCCGAGTTAACAATTCGCTCGACTTCCTCAAAAGTTTTCCCCGTCAAGAGTACACCGTTCCACTCGAGGACTTGATCACCTGAAAAATAAAAAGTATATAAGCAAATCAAAATCGATAAGCAGATTAGTGTAAAGTTTTCCCAACCTTCTTTCACTTCACCAAGCGTTTGTGCATTTCTTGACGAGTCAACCGCCGAGACGAAAGCTCCAAGTTCTCCGTTGTCCATTCTTTTCCCGCCAATCACTCGAAGGCCCAAGTCTAAAGTATTGCAATAAGATTGTAAGCTAAGGAAGAAAACTATTCTCAGCAGTAGACTATCAGCTACAGTTTCTGAGGTGGCCCTGTCTCGTCCTGTTGGGGAAAAAATTCGGATCGAAAACCGAATTTAGAATTACGATAGCTTTTCTGGGAGTTACGGTAGTTCTCCGGAGCTTTCTGAAGGTTTCTAGAGCTTTCTAGAGCTTTCTAGAGCGTTCTAGAGCTTTCTAGAGCTCTCTAGAGCTCTCTAGAGCTCTCTAGAGCTCTCTGGAGCTCTCTAGAGCTTTCTGGAGCTTTCTAGAGTCTTCTGGAGCTTTCTGGAGCTTTCTGAAGCTCTCCTATAGCTTTTTGGATTAGGGTTAGGATTGCGATAGCTCTTTTAAAGGATTACAACAGCTTTTCCTAAAGCGAATCTTTTAGAAGCTCCTTTCCATATCAATAAAATATCAAATTCACAAACCATTATAGATATTGTGTTCTTTGAATCTTCTCGTTAAGAGGATCCGTTTGAAATGCGAGTCTCTTGGCGGGGTTTGGTGTCGAGAACGATTGGATGATGTGATTGTCCCTCCTTGGTTCATCTCCTCATCTCTTTGCCTTCTCATTCCCTCTCTTCCCAAGCTACGGTAACCCCGCATTGTGTTCACATCTGAAAACTCAAAATTATTAAAGATTATTAAAGATTTAGCATTCGATTGTTTAGAAGTTTATATTTTAATATATTAAGAATCGATTTGGTAGATGTTTTAAGACTTTTGGCATTAAAGAGGTATAGAACTGGAATGACGTGCTAATAACATTACAGTTATTTTACATAATTTTACAATTGTTTTACTGCACTGAACTGTAAACATGCTACACTGGTACAACGAAGAAAACCGGGGTTGTTCTAAAAACAGAATCAAGCCAGGCAAGGAACTAGTGACTGATCTGGTCCCTAGTTTCTTGCCTCTGGACTTTTGAGGAGCTAGACTTGGACCAAATGGACACGTCGGTCGTTTTATGGGTGCAGCTGGGAATAGCTGGGAGCTGGGAATACAGCTGGGAATAGCTGGGAGCTGGGAATACAGTTGGGAATAGCTGGGAGCTTGGAATACAGTTGGGAATAGCTGGGAGCTGGGAACACAGTTGGGAATAGCTGGGAAAACATGGTCAGCGCTGGGTTTCGGACCCAGCGACTTCTCGCTTACCGGGCAAAAGCTCTACCAATGAGCTACGCATCCCATTGTCACCATTATGCCTTATTGATCTGGCTTCTAGCTCTAGTTCTAGCCATGACTTGGATTGACTTATAGGCCTTAGTTCAAAACATCGTTAGAAAAAAACTTTTTGTAAAAACGAACACCGTTGCAGCACCATTTGTGGAGTGTTTGATTCGAAGTGGGAATTCGTTTTGAACTGAATATGCTATAATCTATCTTTAATCATCGTTAAAGCAATTGGAATAAGTTTAGGAAATGCTAAGCAATATAATAAAGCAAGATATCATTATTCACTTATTCCTTAGAGTTCTTCTATGTCAAAATTGTAAACAAACGCTTTCTGATGTGTCCAATTCTTGATTTCTCTTGCAGAAATGACTCAAAGTCTCAAGAAATATGATTCCAGTGCACCAGAAAGAGTGATTTTCCACTTTTTGAGGCCAAGGTACACTTTGCTATCAACTATTTTAAATGTCAATCAATCAAAGATCAGAACTTTTAAAGAGAGAGTATAAAGTTTATGTAAAAATCAAGGAGTTTATTCTAAACCTTTGGGAAATCAAGGGATTATTATTGCCAAAAATATTTGCGTCATGTACTCGTCTCTTTTTCCCTCAAATATGGTGACAACTAAATTGCTCTGTTTACGTCAAAACTCATTCATGACATTGCCCAAATAGTCGAAAATTGGGCAAAATATTCATCTAATAGTAAAACTATTCTAGAGTACTTCTAGAGTTGAGAGTTCAATTCTACAGCTGATTTCAGTTCTATTAATTGATTTGATTCTAGAATTGTTCTAGAGTTGTTCTAGAGTTGTCTAGAATTGTTCTAGAATTGTTCTAGAGTTGTTCTAGAGTTTTTCTAGAGTTGTTCTAGAATTGTTCTAGAGTTGAGTTGCTTCTAGAGTTGCTTTCAGTTCTGGAATTGATTTGATTACAAACATTTTTCCTAGAGTTCTTCTAGAGCTGAGAGTTCAGTTCTAGCGCTGATTTCAGTTCTGGAATTGATATTCTGACTAGATCTGATCACGTTTATCAGCGTTAAAAGTGTTGATTTTAGTTACTCCTCAGTAATTTAGTTGAAACCAGGGCAAAACAAAACTTGTGCGTCGCCGGGACTCGAACCCGCGACCTTTCGCCTTCCAGGCAATAGTGCTAACCACTACACCACAACGGACATGATCACCCTTGTTCCAGAGGGAGCTAAGTGTTTATTTACAGTTAAGTTAAAGTTAAAGTTAAAAGTTAAAACCCCAGGATCTTTTCTGTAAAAAAACTTGCTTACTAGTTGGCTAGGTTTTCTTCAAAAAATATTATTGTTAGCACAATGTACTGTATTCTGTACTGTATAAGGGTTTCTATCTACCATTAAATCTTTAAACTCTCCCTACTCCAGTTTAAAGCTTCATTTTTACTCTCTTCAAAAGTTAGATCAAAAATTTTCATGTTTTCCCCTTCTTAAACCGATTAATTATTCTTTTCTTTACCCAGCAATTTAAAGCAAAAAAAAATTTCTCATTTTTCTTTCCAACTCACCTCTTCGAATCAAACACTCCACTTTTCATACTCAAAAAAGGCTAACTTTTCAGCGAGCTGAGCTGAAAATCTCAACTGAGCGAGCTCAAAAAAAAGATTCTAAACCGTAAACGACCACTTTCTAACGCATCATGAATTCATCAACTTTAAACAATCTCAGAAATCGAGAACTCAACGCACTTCAATGGCTCAAAGTTTGCCAAATCTTCCGTACAAAGTAAACCTGGGTATTTCACATTTTACAGTTCACATTTTACAGTTTACATAAAATATCTCTATTTATTTCCTCTTTATATAAAAAAAATTTGTGTTGACAAGAAAATAAATGAAAAATTTCCACAACACAACAAAAAAAAAAAGAAAACATTCGAATTTTACATATCGGTATCGGTTTTTTTATTTAGTTTTTTTTCAAAATTTACATATAAAAATCGATCATTTAACTCCAAAATGCCAAAGAAAATGTGAAAATTCTTAGTAATTCTTAGTAATTCTAGAAATTTTGTAACACAGAGTTGAGATTTTTGGGGGCAGTGTTTTTTTTTTTTAAAAAATCATCAAATGGGCAGTTTTTAGATGAAAAAACATAGAAAATCCTATAATTTTAATGCTAAAAATAAAGTTTAAAAGAATTTTGAAACAATTTTTCAAGTCTTAAACTTTATTTTCAAATGTGGCTTTAGTTTTTTTTTGGATAGAGAGGTTCTGGGTAAAGTTTTAGACTCTAGACTTTGTGCTTTCAGGGAAACGTACCCTTTCTGATGCACTAAAGACTTTCAGTACGCCAGAAGGGGTGTATTTACCACTGGTTTACTGTAACTATAGTAATACGGACTACAGACTACGGAGCCAGCGCTATCATAATCCTTTTCTAAAGTGGACATTTGGCTACTGTAGTGAGTAGCTACCGTAAATACTGTAGTACACAATAGTAGCTACCGTAAATACTGCAAAAGTACCCCACCCCCCTCGTACAGTCGCGTAGTCGCAAAGTTTTTTAGCAAAGGTATTTCATCTTTTTCAAAGCGCCCGTACTTTCAAAAAATGCGTCTTTGGTATCAAAAAATAGCCCTGAATCTCAGCTATTTTTTGATCCCTAAACGAGCATTGTAGCATAAACCAGTATCGAGAAAAACTCGTTCAAAGCTAGACTACGCAACACTCCGCACCGTCATTATGGGCAGTGGGGTCCAATTACAGTATTTACGGTAGGAATACTGTCAGCTTTTCTAAATTCCGCCTATCATTAATTCCCCTTCACTCTCTCTACCTCCCATCGGGTAATAAAAACGATGGACTATGCAGTCCAGTCTGTAAACCGTCCACTCCTAGATAGGCTCCATATTGAGCCCCATATGCACCTGGGGCTTGCGCATTTCTTCCGGTTCTTCTCCCAGCTGTCGCGTAGACTCTTGACAATGCATCTCCATCATAGTGCCAAGCTTTTGGAGGCAGTGACGCGGCTGTGGTTGTGGTTGGGTGTTGCTGTCGGGTGTAGATGTTCCTCGAGGTGCCCGTTGCGCCAATGCCGTTCCCGTAATCCAGCGAGGTTTGCATTGGCCGAGCGCCGTAGTTCGTTTCACTTCGGCTGTACACCTGAAAAGAGGGGAAACGTTGAGCAGAGGTTCAGAGTTTTACTTAGAGAATTCTACTACAGTGGCCCAAATTAACGTACCCAATGTACAGTTACAGTAATCCAAAGTACAGTTGCAGTACCTCAAGTTACAGTACCCTAAACTACAGTTATAGTATCTCAAGTTACAGTACTCCAAGTTACAATTACAGTACCCCTAAACTTAAGCCTTAAGTTCGGGTCTACAGCTGTACCCAAATCTCCACCACTTACCGGGTTCAGCGATTGAGCAGCTCCCGGTTGCACATAGGCGTTCTGTGTCCCATAACTTGCCCCATATCCAACCGGTCGTTGCTGAGTCACATATGATGTTGACGGGTAGACGGATTGTTGTGACATTGTCGTGATGCCCTGTCCACCGATTGTGCCCGCATTAGCCAAGGTGGTCGTGCCGAGGCCCGGATAGGGATTCGTGGCATACGTGTGCGGCATTGTGGATCTAGAGTCGGGGTTTAGGTTATTGGTTTTACTAGTTGGCTACTGATAAACTCACTGTGTGTGGTACGGGTCATTGAGTTGGGGTTCTAAAGGGCGTTGGTGGAGGAGCGGCATCGGTGCGGGCAGGGTGCTCGCTGCTAGCGGGTTTGGTCTAAATCGAGGTCTAATTTTGTTGGTCCACTTATTCATTTGCCGACTAATATCTATGTTACGTTCGGATCTGATCCGGACGTCCGAATCCGACCAGAATGAGTGTGGTCGGATTGAACGAACCGAAATCTACGTCCTAAACGGACCACAAGATAATCAATGGCCGTCCGGATCAGAACCGGACGCCTGGTCGGATTCAGAAGTCACATATATATGATCTTTTATAGAAAAATAGTAATCTTTTCTAATAAAGCAAACCGCAGGGAAATCGGTGAATTGGTTCTTTTTAAATAGCTTTGTTAAACGAAGTGTTCAAGGCTTAACGGTCAACCTAATATAAGATTATTATATATAGATTGTTATAATTTAACTTTTCTTATCTATTCTTATGGATACTGTGGGAAAAACTGTAGAGAAAGGCTGGGAAAGACTATTCCTTTTCACGCTCCAAACTCTCACAGTCATATTTGAAACGAAAATCTTCGTTTCAAACGTTTCAAATGCAAACTCTTATTTCTTGATCCCTGATTGAGTAAAACAAATATTTAATGTTAAATAGTTATTTGATTTTTGATTTTTTTAAATCAAACTTACCGATACTCAGACATCCCATAGCCCGGCATTCCACCATAGAGTTGATCTTGATATGGCGCGTATTGAGCTTCGGAGAATTGTCGGGAAAGATAATTCGCGTATTGTGAGATCATCTGATCACCGGCCATGCTTGACTGACCGATGGCTGTTGTTTGGCCAAGTGGTGGCGCCTCTTGGGTTCGCTGTAATCCGTACGGATCTCTCGGGTCGTTTATTCGGCCTAAAGTGTTTTTTTAAAATACAAATATCTAAATCTAAATCATATTTGTTATAAGGTAAATACGAAGAAAAACAATTCACCATAAGATCTTCTGAACTGTGGCTGCATTGTCAGCAAGCCGTCCCTCTCAACACCCGTCGAGTCCAAGTAACCAGTGGATCGGGCCTAAACTTTTCACTATACTGTGTGTACTGTAACGTAGTGTCTATCTATTCAATTTTCGTTCTTATCTAATATTCTAACAATCATTTATCTCACTCACTTGCGAATATGGGATTCGATTTGGCGCGTATCGATCGATCAACGGATCGTTGTTCGAGATGTCGTACATCGATCGAGAGTACCCTCTATCGTATGCGGGTCTGAAGATTTACTCGTTGCTGATCTGATTGAATTCGTTTTTAGAGCACGTAGACCAATTGCAATACAATATGCAATACTTATAGGTATTTGTAGGTATACCTACAATAGTATATCTTAGTCATGTGCTATCGAATCGCTAAATACATTTTAGTAAACGGCTTTTGTTTTCTAAAACGTAAAATCACGTTGTATCTGTTACGTTTGGTCTAGAAATCCGTCCGATCTATACTGATTCTAGATCGGACATCCGATCTAGAGTGAAGTAAAGTTAAACGTCCGATCTAGATCAAGCCGATCACTCTAAATCGAAGTCTGGATGGGAGGTCTGATTTAGAGTGATCGTCTAATTTAGACGATTATAGATCGGACGTTTAACTTTACTTCACTCTAGATGGATTTCCGATCTAGAATCAGTCTAGATCGGACGAATTTTTAGATCGGATGGATTTCTAGGTCGGACGAATTTCTAGATCGAATGGCTTTCTAGGTCGGACGGATTTCTAGATCAGACAGCTTCCTAGATCGGATGGATTTCTGGATCGGACGTAACATATCCACGTTTTAGAAAACGAGAGTCGTTTGGTCGGATTCGGACGTAAAAGTTCCGGATTCAGATGTCCAGCTCCGAACCTGACGTCCGAATCCGATTTGATCGCCGGGTTGGATTCAAACAAAACAGATACAATACTAGGTACTTGCAATTGTAATGAGTATAAGTCGTGAATTTATAAAACAGAATAGGATGTAAATGTAAATGAGTAGATTCAGTTATTAGTATTAAGCAAATCTTTAAAAGCCCCACCCTGCGCCCATCGACCTTCCACCGAATGGTTGTTCAAAATCGGTCTGTATTGGATCATCGTGACTCATCATCCAGCGCTCGTAATTCCTCGGCAAACTTCCATAATTATAGGTGGAGGAGCTCGGTTGATCGGCCCGATAGGTGAGATCTCGACCAGTTCTAGAAATTTGAAGTTAAGTTAGTGATTTAAATCTAGAATTCGTTTAGAGCTGGCTAGGAAAGTTCTAGCGCTATTTCTAGGATAGATTGTAAGTCTTTCACTCACCGATATCCACCGATTCTTGGCAACGAGTTATAGTATCGATCAGCATCTCTTTCATCTCGTCGCCTCGCCAATTCATCCATTAACTCCAATTTTCTGTATTCTCTCGACATTGGATCATCATCAGTAAACGTGAATCTCGATGTTCGATTTCGATTTCTCGGAGAATCCGAGAAATGTCTCCTTCTTTGTCTTTCTTCTCTTTCAACTGTGTCTCTCAATTGCAACTCGGCCGTCATTTGTCTGAGTTGGCGATCGTAGTCATCAAAGTATCTAGAAAGAAAGAGATATACTCTAGATACTAAAATTATTAATGTAACTGCATGATGTTCAATTATTTGGCTTTGGAATACGTTGAAACAACTCTAAAGTGATACCTGTCTATAGGGAATCAAAAGTTGTTTTACCAAGAGTTGGCGAAATGCTATGCGATCTATACCATTCGCAGAATTTGATGCTGATTCCGAATAAGTATTCCGTTTTTACTAAATGACAATCTGCCAGGAGTTATAAGTGTCTAAAGTTTTGTTAGGACTCATTAAGAAAATGTTAAGAAAATGTGGTTATTTGGGGCCTCCTTGCGGCCTCCTTGCAGACTTAACGGTCTTCTTGTTGACCCGACGTGGGGCTAGTGGTACCCGACGTGGTGCTAGTGGTACAGCGCTCGTTTCGAGAGCGAGACCTTACAAGTTCGTTCCCCACTTGGGTTTTTTGCTTTTTTTTCGAGAAGTGCTGACTTTGTGCAATTGCATTCCATCTGGCACATTACTTTCCATATATAAAGCTTATAACTCCTGACAGATTGCAAGAACCGAATACATATTCGGAATCAGCATAAAGTTCTGCGAATGGTATAGATCGCATAGCATTTGATCGGCTCAACCATTTCTCTTATAAGCCTTGCTAAGTAAATCTCAATTTCTATTCACCTCTTCGTGGCTTCCAGCAGATCATCATGCCTCATTTCTTGTCTCAGCTCTCGATTCAACCGATCTTGATCCCATCGACTTTTCCTCTCGCGCATCGCATCCACCGGATAAGTGCTTGTCGACGTTGATGGGTATTCTGTCTAAAGTTTTAGATTTTAGTAAAAGTAATTAAATTCTACGAAACCTGTGTTCCTTCTGTTTTCACTCTTTGTCGATCCAAGCGCTCTTGGCTAATCTGATGACTTAAACTTGCAGCTGGGCCAATTCCCCGTTGATCGTACAAACGACCAAAGCTTTCCATCGTTCTTTCATACAATTTTGAGTGCTGTGGTTGTGGGTTGTACTCGTATCTGGAAATGGATCTTGTTTGGCTATTTTACGGAAGAATTTGGTTCAGTATTGACTGCCGAATCAATACAAATTTAAGAAATTTTCAGGCTAAGTTCTATCCATGTTCCTGGCCTGATCTGGATCGATTTAACTATGCTAGTTTCATACTATTTAACTAGACTATACTAACGAACTTATAACCTTGAGGAGCAGCCTTGATAACTGTAATATAGTATCTATCTAGTATCTACCAAATTACAGTAACTGTCAATAAAAAAGCTTTAAGTTACCTTGTTGGTAGCGCCACTCCATCTCCACTTTGCACGCCGACACTTCGCTTTTGATATGTTGATGGCAAATCGGTATAGTAATTAGATGGGAAATGCATTGTTTGAATGGGCTGCTGTTCTCTAAAATTGTTTACAATTGTATTAGTTGATTGAAAATGGTTGACCTCTGCGTAATTGATGCTAGATGATCGTCTTTCTGTGTTCCGACGGTGGCTGTGGGTCGAGGAGTGACACGGGCACCGCTGATCAACTCGATCGGTAACAGACAAGGGATCACTCGTGGCACATCGTCTTCTCTAGAAAGAGTAAGGTAGAAAAGAAAGTTTAATTTAGCTTAGTTTAGTTTTTAGTTTAGTTTAGATCAAGACAGGGTTTTAGGGATTACTTTTAAAAAAAGCTTTATAAGCTCACCTAAGCTATCAAAGCACAAATTTTGTGAGCAATGCGTGATAAAGTACATAAAAATTTGACTTATTGAGTAGCAAAACAATCGTACCAAAAAGCTTAGAAAGATCTTTCAACGCTGAAAATTTTACGGCAAAATCTTATTGCTAAAGTGCTTTCTAAAATGGTTGAATAATTCAATAATTCAAAAATTCAATACCTATTATCCGGCAGTAGACCAGTCACCAGCATTTTATGCACAACGTATTGTCGTTGATTTGCTTCGATCTCGCATGCTTCGAGCGCGTCTCGGCGTCGTGTTAACGCCTCCTAAAATAATTGGATTATAAAACTGAAGATTTAGAATTGAATATTGAAGATTGGAAAGCTAATTTGGAGAAAGCTAATAGAAAAACTAATAGAACAACAAGTACCAAAAATTAAATTATCTTAGAAAATTAGGTATCCTAAGAAAAGCAGAATTCTAAATGATTTCTGATCAATTAACCGTAAATCATTAATCAATAATCAATTTTTTGATTACTAAACTACCTGTTTGATTTAATTTAGTAACCAAAAAAAAGCCTTAAACGGTATGCAAGTGTGGTTAAAGAAAATTAAAAAGAAAATGACCTTATTCTAATGTTTAGATACAATTCGCTGCTTTAAACTAAAACTAAGGATACAAGCTTTAGCTAAAAGCTAAAATAGCTTCAGAAAAATGTTATCATTATGCTAAAACTAGAGATAAACCGCTAGCTGTCATTTCCAATTTCTTGGGAGGTGTAGGGAAAGGGGTGAGGTTTCAGGAATGAGAAATGTTTAGGAGATGCAGGGGAAGGAGTAGGAAGCAAAAATCTATACTCAGGGGTGCTGTCAAGTGTGGACTAGTAAAGAATAGAAAAGAGAAAAAGAAGAAAGCTCACTGAGTCGGGGGATTCTTTTTGGGGTGAAGAGAAAGAAAAAACCCGTTAGTGTATGGCCCCATGGAGATAGATCGGAAGAAGTCGATGGAGCGCTCTTTTTTGGTGAGAAACGGGCGGTGAAAGAGGGATTTCCTCTGGGCAAAGCCTGAAGAGATTTCCCCGAAAAAGGAGATGAAGCTGAAGAGGAAAAGAGGAAGAGCTGTAGTGAGTGTATTGATCTCTTTATCTATTCACCTCGTTGAGCACAACAAGCCTGATAGTTTTAGGTTTAAAGTCTTAGCTTTGGTTACTGTCGGGCTCAAATTTATTGGTGTTGAGCTGTTCAATTTAAATAGTTTTTATACCAATCAACAGAGAAAGACTTAGCGCATCGAATGATATCAAAAATATTTCTATTGAACAGCTCAACACCAAGAAATTTGAGCTCAAAGTTTGATTGCTAATGGCAAAGGAGCCGATTGTATCAAATTGCTGATAACCTAACTTTGAGCGGTGTTTAATAACTAAACTTGAGATTGATAAAGCTGTAAACTTTGACTATCTAGTGTACCAAACTTTTTTCCAAGCTATGTAAAGTTATGTCAAGTTTTCTGCACTCAAATCTTTTCAATTATCCAAGTTAATTTCTTCGACTAATGCAGGATTTCAAAAAAAAAGAGGTGGCTAAAACGGAGAGTTGAAGTGATTGAAATAGTGAAGAGGAGAGGGAAAAGTGAGAGAAGAGAAAAAAGAGCTTGGGGCATTATCGATGAATCGTGCACGGCTTGTGGTCTTCCCTTTTTCATCTCTTCAGCTTTTGGGTCGAAATGGAATTATCCGGACCCCAATTTCTGATGAATTCTCGGCGGAGAAAAGAGTTTTCTCTTTTTTGATGGCTTTTTATTTTACAACTAGTATGGAGATTTTGAAGGAAAATTTTAAAGAGTTGGGTAACTGAACCAAAAGCGACAAATAGGATTATGAAGAAGAAAAATGCGTTTTAGGGAAAAAGTAGATTAGTATGCTTGTTTTGAAGATGTTTCTAGGATTGGAGTTGGGTAATTGATCTGAAAGAATGCGTTTTGTGCTCAAAAATTGGGAACACGGCGATTCTGGTGATTCTTCACTTTCTCGAGAGATCAAGACGCTCTTTTGGAAGGGTGTGTTTGCAATTTTCAAGCACTAAGTACACTCTTAAGAACAGCTTTATATTAAGACTAAAGCTGTTGAATGGAAATTCTGAAAATACCTTCAATTCTTTCTTCAACAAAACCCTCGCCAGAGTGTTCGGAATTTTCGATTGTTGAGAGGCACGATGTTTATGGTGGGAAATCGAGGAGACCGGTCTGAAATCAAATTTATATAGTAAAGAGGTGAATCTCAGTTTTGAGATGAATAACAGGTCAAAAGCTAAGAAAGAAAGAATAGTAAGAAAGTAAAGTAAGGAATGACAAAGAAGGATTTCCGGAGAGGGGATTGAACCCTCAACCTTTTTAGCTTTCCAGAAAGATGCTCTAGCCACTGAGCTATCTGATATCTTCTTGCCAAAGAAAGAGGAAATACAAGAGGGAAGAGAAAGGAAGAAAGAGAAGAAAATCCCCGGCTTTTCGGCTGTAGTAAGTTAAAGTTTAAAGTAGCTAAGTTACAGGTAGATTTTTCTTTTCAGGAAACAAGTTCAGTTTGCTAATTTGTGCCTAAACATTGTTTTCTCGTTACATCCACCATTTAGCAGGCATTTATTTCTTTAAACGTAAAATCTGGTCGTAAAATCTGAACCATACTTGCTTGGGTGATGAAATCACTAACTATAACAATAAGTACTTTAGGTTTAAATCTTTATTTAGATAATTAACGATAAAAAAACCTGAAAGTCTGCTTCTTCGGGTTTGCTGAAGCTGTGATCTGAGCACCAGGGAGGATCGCTGGATCGTAGAATGTGCGAGCGGTTGACAAAGCCGAACACGATGATTGCGGTCGACTCGTCAAATCGATCATTGAGCCCATCGCGGAGCCGGGTTGAGAGGAAAGACCGGGATGACCGGGTTGAATGCTCTGAAAGTTTGGGGAAACGTTAAGAATCATCCGCGGTTACAATACAGCTCGTTAAATTAAAGAGACTTACTATAAAATTTAGTTTTATTCTTAAAAATCGTATTAGCTTGAAAGAGACTCTGATAATTTCTGATCATTTCTGATCAAAGTCTATTCCTCCTCACCGGTGCAAATGAGTGCGATTGGAGAGTGGAAGCGCCAAGCCCAGTCACCGTGCTGCTGCCCGTTTGTGAGCCGATCGATCCCGTTTTCTAGAAAAATGTCAAAGAATTTTTTGGAAAACACTTACCGATTGCATTGCTGCAAAAGGTGTTGGAATGTTTGATGAGAAAAGATTGAATTGAGTGATAGATGTGGCGGTGGGTGGAGCTGAGCTGCTGAGGTAGGGTTGTTGGGCAAAGGCTGACGCCAGCGGGGTGGTTCTACCCGATCGGAGCTCTGAAAGATCATTGAGAATTCGGATTTGATGGTTTGGTTGACTTGATAACTTGGTTTGCTATAGGTTCAAACCTTGATCAGCGAACGAGACATGGTGTTGTGGCTGGGTTTGTTGCTGGCCAAGGAGACTCGACGAGTAGGGCCCTAATGGACGTGAGAGAACAGATGGGAGAATTGTGGACGGCTGATTGTTGACGCCGAATGGTGTCGAGGTTGACTGAAAGATATGGAAACTAGAGTTGAAGTGGAAGGGTTGGATGTGCTTTGAGCAAGAAAGGACACTTGATAGCAAAGAAATGTTCCAATAAGCTGCAACAGATCAAATGGTCGATTAACTCAGCCTGAGCTGAGATCTGAGTGAAGCTAGGTCAAAAACAGATCTGTTTCAGGATCCCTGAAAGCCAATTCTGAAGAGCAAGCTACTAAGAGCCAAAAAAAATTCGCTCGTAGCTTAAGATCGTAGCTGGATCAGAGCTAGGCTAAAATCCAGATTTGGCAAGACCCTTGATTAACTAGTAAGCCATTCATGACTCAGAAATTTGGTTTTTGAACCTATCTGTTCACTAGTGAGCTACTTGTAAATAGATAGAGATTCACAAGATTTGCATCAGTCTGATTCAACGATTTCACCCACCAGAGCTGTTGATGTGAAAGTCGAAGCCCAAGCGGTGGTCGGGGTGGCGCCGAATTGCTGATGACTGGGTGGCCAGATCGAGCCAGACATCGAGCCGCCAAACGGCCCGATTTGGGGTGCAGGCGTGGATGCACCGCCTGGAAACATTTCGAATTGGAATTGGAAAATCAGAAAACCCAACTTGTTAAGATATTCAGAAACGGAGAAATGTATTTGGCTTTCAATTTTTGATTGACAGCCCCCTTGAAAATCTGCGAATTTTTGACGTGTAAAGCCGGGTCACGCTATGGGAGAAAAGTGCTAGGAAATGGAGGGTTTTAGGCGAAAATTTATGTAAATTTGGTCTGTTGTCAAGGAGGAGGAGAAAAAGGATAAAAATAAGGAGTCATATTAGAAATAAATATAATAGTTTACAATTTTTTTTATGACAGCTGAGCAAAAGATAAAGAAATTTGGGCTTAAAATGATAAACAAAGTCACAAAAGTACGTCAAAAGTATTTGTGATTTCTTTCGGCATTGGTAATACAATTAACTATGCCAGAAATAAGTAAAAAGTACTTCTAGAAGCCTAGAAATCCATCTAGAAGTCTAGAAATCCATCTAGAAGCCTAGAAATCCATCTAGAAGCCTAGAAATCCATCTAGGAGTCTAGAAATCCATCTAGTATCCTTTTTCAACAACCTATCTCTATTTCAGGATCTTGAGCCTCAACCCTGCAGCTCCTCTCGCCTTTAGAAAACCTTGAACTTTGAATTCAGTTTATTTTCCAATTTTCCAATGATTCCTTTTATCTAGATTATTTCAAATTTCAAGAAAACCCCTAAGAATCTAGATCTAAGCAGAGTTCTAAAAAGCCATCAAACTCTCGTAAACCCAAGTGCTCCGTGAAGCGAAAACATATGCAAATCGAAGAAAAGTTGATCTAGTTGAAGGAAAAAGCGAAGTCTAACTCTTTCCAAAGTAAAAAAAAAGGCTCTTTCCTTTTTTTTTCTGGAAAGTGGGGCTCTTGAGCGGAAAAGTATGTGTGAGGGCAATGGGATGGAGTGAAGAGCCGACATCCCGAGCCCCGCAGAAGAATCGGATAGACACACACGTGGAAAGCCCAAAAAAAGCTGGGCCATTGGAAAAAAGCTGGGGGAGCTCTGTCCCCACTCCCGCGAATACCAAAAGGGACCCTCTTCCAGTCCAGTTTCTCGCTCAAGGCTGGCCCATAGCGGAACCAATGAAGCCTCTTTCCACCCCTAGAAAGGTCCCCCCAGCACTTGATCGATACTTGGCTTCATTCACCCTCCATTTTTTTTCTCTTTTTTTAGTTTTTTTGCAGCATTTTTCCCGTTTTTTCTCGTTTCTCTGATGGGAATTTTTGCTTAGATGAAGCGGAAAGAGTTCATGTTTTAAAGTGATGTCAATGGAGGTTTTTGAATGGATATTTTGGTCAATAATCGGTTTTTTCTCACTATTCAAACTATTTACATGGCTTATTTTTCAGTTTTTAATGTTTTTTAGAATAAAGTTTGCTTTTGATTTGACCAAAAAGCGCTAAAAATCGCTAAAAAGCATCAAAAGCGCTAAAAAGCATCAAAATGCATCAAAAAGCACTAAAAATCTAATGAAATGACCAATTACTGGTTTAAATAGCCCCTATTATGTAAACACACTCTTTCTGGTGCACTGAATTCCTGATGCTATGAGGAAACTAAAGAAATTCAATGCATTAGAAAGGGTATGTTTCAATGGTTGAGCAGAGTTAAATCTCTTTAGCTAAAGCAGAGTTAAATTTCTTTAGCTAAAGCAGGGTCAAATCTCCTTAGAAAACTTTCAAAAACATCAACAAAACATATAAATAAACAGAAACTATCAGAAATCGTAAACGAGCAGTAGAAAAATGAAATATTCAAGCTAAAGGAAGAAAAGGCTATCCATTTTTGCCCAAACAACATCTCGATTTTCTTCTTCTTCAAAAGAAATCTCCAAAAGAAGTCTCCAAAAGAAGCTACAACCACACTCACTACTTTTTCTCCTTTATTTTCTCACTCTCTTCATCCAATTTGTTCTTGAATGGCCAAATCTTTTGGGGAAAGAAAAGTTGAGGAGGAGAAGGAGGAAGAGGAGAAGAAGCTAACTCATCCACCGGGAATTCCTAGTGATAGACTAGGAAACAAAAGAAAACAAAAGAAAAGAAAGACAATAAATAGACAAAGACTAAAGCTTTTTTTTAATCTTAAATCTTATTGTATAAACATTCTTATTGTATAAATTCATACCAGGAACGGAATTCAACTTCGAAAACTTTAAAACTTCGAAAACAATTGCAAAACTAACCAGAATCGAGTCATAGCGGCGCTATTTTTATGTCATTCTTTTGGACTATTTAAATTTCTATTTATAACATTGAATTCTATGGATTTCTATTTCTACAGTGGCGGACAATTAAATTAGAACCGATGCTCCATTTGCATTTGCTTCACACCCATTCAAAAAGACATCAACAGCTTTTTTTTTTTGATGTTATCTTAGCTTTCGTTTGGCACCACTTTTGACCAAACATAATTTAGTATTTATTTAATAACTCAACAATTAACAAAGGTGTGTTTGAAAAGTGACGACATTTAAATATAACCGATCGTAAAAATTAATATCAAGTATGTATCTATTGCATAAACAGTTCACTAAGTTGAGTACCCAATTTCAAAAAGAAACAATACAAAGACATTGCTTAAAAGTAACCCAACCTAAGCTCGAGTTGAGTTCAGAAAAGAGTGACTCCTCGAAAATGCTAACGGGCGTTCTCGGCAATGAATTTTCCCTCTAACTCTCCTATTTTCCTTTCAGCTAGATCAAAAAAGCTAAAAGAGAGCAATTTGGGAGAAAATGAGAAAAGAGAAAGACTTGGCATTACCCAAAAGCATTTTTCCGCTCTGGGACAAAGAATTCTAATCTAGAGCCTCTATTGCTTTTTAAACACTTTTAAAACACAATCCCTTGGGAAGGGATCGAAAAGAAATGCGTTCAACTTAGAAAAGAATCTATGAGAACTTTGAGAACTCTTTGAGAACTCTTTGAGAACTCTTTGAGAACTCTTTGAGAACTCTTTAAGAACTCTTTGAGTAAACCTTTAAAAAGATATACCTCAAGAAAAGTGAAATTCTTTGAATCTTTTCAGAGAATTTCACATTGAATCGATATACAAACTTACGAATGATAGCTGGAGTTGTCTGTTGTGTGGTTGGTGTTGTTTGTTGCAATGGGGGTACCGAGGGGAGTTTCCTCCGACCCATTTCACTCTGACCTGAGCCCACCGAGCACGCATCATCCTAGAAAATATGGAATTTCAAAGGTTCGCAAAGCTGTAATCTTATAGTTAAGCAAATCTATTAAGTTTCATATATCCTATCGAAAACTTTTAACTAATTGTTTACTGATTTTATATCTTTGAATTTGGTAGAAACCATTGAACCACTGAGTTATAATTGAAGTTAAATAAAATCTAGATCTATTGAATCTATAGAAGGTTCTGGTTCTGGTTATGGTTCTGGTTCTGGTTCTAGTTCTGGTTCTAGTTCTAGTTCTGGTTTTGGTTCTTGTTCTGGTTCTGTTTCTGATTCTGGTTCTAGTTCTGGCTCTGGTTCTAGTTCTAGTTCTAGTTCTGGTTCTGTTTCTGATTCTGGTTCTAGTTCTGGTTCTGGTTCTAGTTCTAGTTCTAGCTCTGGTTCTAGTTTTAGTTCTGGTTCTGTTTCTGATTCTGGTTCTAGTTCTAGTTCTGGTTCTAGTTCTGGTTCTGATTCTGGTTCTAGTTCTAGTTCTGGTTCTGTTTCTGAGTTCTGGTAAGCTAGAATAGGCAAGCAGGATTGTTTCTAGACGTTGTGGATTTGATTTAACCAAGCCAAACCAAACTATTCTTACAATTAGTTTAGCTTGAGCTTTTTGACTGGCCAAAACTAGCCCACATCGAGCCAAGCAATAAGAAGTTAAGCCATAGACTGATCAGAAAATTAACTGTAAAGAAATGGTCAATTAACTGGTCAGAAAATGATTCTAGATGATAAGAATTATTCTTATTATTATCTAGATATTATTCTTATCATCTAGAAACATTCTTATCATCTAGCTCTTATTCTACCTGAACAGAACATAGTAGGAAATACAGAATTATCAGATTTCGGCTTTAGCCGTTTTCTGAAGTGAATGGATCCATTTGTGTAAAAGAGGAAGAAGAGAGGAAGCTGAAAAATCACCAAAAATCCACTGGGGAGCAAGAAAAGGGAACACTTTTCTAGAAAAAAAAAAGAAAAAAAGGCATTTGTTTAGTTTTTCTTCAAAAAAAAAACGTTTTCTTCTCATATTTCTTTGCTTTTTTTCTCTCTGAATATCTTTTTTCGTCTTTTACCAAAACATAAACGGAATTCACGGAATTTTTGAGTGAGTGTGTGGAAAAAAATTGGTTAGAAAATTGCCTGAAACCAATTTTTTGCATAGTTACTAAAAAAAGTGCAAATTTTTGCAAATTTTGACAAAATCTATTTTTTTTTATCAATTTTCTTATGCAAAAGTTCAATTTTCAAGAAAAAGTGATTGAATTTTCGGAAAAAATCGAGTTAATCAGCGATTGAAAATGGTAAACTGGTAAAGTTTGAGCAAAAAAAAATGGAACCAGAAGTGAGCGAAAGTTTTAAAAGATAAAGTGGCATGTAAGTATTACCAGAAATGTCGAAATGTGAAGTATTATCTTTTGTAAACCATCTTTCTATCAAAAAAGGGAAGTAAATGGGAAGTATTACATCTTGTAAACATTGTAAACATTCTTTCAATCAAAAACCTTGTCTCACCACAGCCAAATGATATTCTTTCATCAATACATCAACAGCCAGGTCATACAAAAACCATTCTTGCATCAATACTCTTTGAATTGATTAGAAAATCTTGAAAAGAAAAAAAATCAGTTTGTTTTGAATCGTTTTCTTTTGTATTGAAATGAAATGACTAAGCTTTTTGCTTTGTTTAAATGATTTTAAACTCTCTTGAGTCAAGTCAAGTTAAGTTAAAATCGACTTTAAACTCTAAGTCAATTTTAACTTGACTTGACTCAAGAGAGAGAGAGAGTTTAAAATCATTTAAACGAAGCAAAAAGCTTAATTATTTCAAGACAAGTTAAAACTCTTCTAGTTTCTGGATGTGCTAGGGGGGATGCTAGGGAGACAATACAGGGCACTAGATACTGAATCTCTTCTAGATTCTTAAACAGTCCTTTCAAACTCAAATCTTTACCAGCTGGCAACATCCTCGTCTCGTACTTGTTTAGAATTTCTAGAACCTTTAGATTCAGAATATTGGTGAAGGTCGTAAAAATTCAAAGGCACTAATCATGAAATATTCGGGGATTGGTGGAAAACAGAAGAAGAGAAAAGGGGGATGAAAATGAAGATGCTGGAATGCGTAAGAAAATGGAGAGAACTGAAGGAATGGCTGAAGGGGTTGTGCAAAACGGGGAAATGGGGGGAAAGATGTAGAAAACGTAGAAGGGTAGTGGCTAGGGCTAAAGCTGAAGAAAAGAGGGGTGTTGAAGGAGAAGACGGACTGGGCCAAGAAAAGGGCCCAGAAAAGCACAGCCAAATATCATATGAAAAGAGGGTGAGGGTGTGAAGAAAAGGAAAGAAAAAGCAAAAAGACGGGCAAAAGAAGTACCCGTATATAGAAGAAGCCTTTCTTGTCAAAGAAAAGAGCAACGGTGGTGGCAATTAGAACTGCTGCTCTTCTCTTGAGCTGAAGAGGTTTGAAAAGGGTGGAGACAATGAATTCTTTAGCGGAACACCTTAAATCTTGGAATATAGTGGTGATTAAAAGCTTAGCAATGTTTAAACTAGTTACAGTGAGTTTATAACAAAATTTAAATGCTATTTCTGTCTGTTGAGCTCTGTCTTGATTGATGCTTTGCGCTGAATTTAATTTACTCTTTCTCTAAAGATAGACAATGAGTTACGAAACAATAAATAAAATAATATTTGGGAGCTTGATATAACTGGTTGCTATAACTGGTTGCTATAACTGGTTGCTATAACTGGTTGATATAACTGGTTGCTATAACTGGTTGATATAACTGGTTGCTATAACTGGTTGCTACAACTGGTTGATATAACTGGTTGCTATAACTTTAGTACTCATTTAGTACTTATTCTATTTGAGAAGAGTGAGCTTGATCATTCATCAGGTTGAATGAATAAAGTTTGAAGAACTAGCTGGTGAAATTGTGATGAAAAACTGGCTAGAGATAATGCGAAATTGGACTTAATGCGAGCTTAGACTTAAGCTACAGTATGCTTCACTTTTGTCTGACTTTTCTCTGACTTTTGTCGGTTTTAACTTGTACTTAAGTTGGCTTTCTTGTGCCGAAATATTAGCGTTGATAAAAGCGGAATTACGAAGAGCTTGGGAAATGTTTAATCTAGAAATTCTGGATTTTATTACTTACTAAGCATGACTTGGCTTGACTTTTGGCCTTATTTGACTTGATTTGGTTTACCAGATGGCTGGCTTAACCTAGTTTGGCTTTTGAGCCTAAAACCCTGATCTATGACAGACCTACAAACAGATCATTACGATCAATTTGACCATTTTCTTTTTAATCCTTGAAAAAGTTTCTAACATGTACGCTTTATATTGCAATTGTCAAATCAGATCATTGTCAAATCTAACTTCAAACCTCGATCTCTTTAATCCAATTGTAGGCACTCGAGAGCTCTTGCATTGTGTTCTCAACGGTGAATGGCAGAGAATCGATGGGCATTGTTGTGGCATCGATTGCACTTTGCGGGTGAACAGTGTTGATGAGTTGATCTTCGAGTTTTGACATCTAAAGGATTCTCTTGATGCTAGACTAGTCTAATGCTAGGCTACCGTAAGCCTTACTGTACTTCATTTTAGTAAAATCATTCACTTGAACTAGCAAGACAAGACTATTGCAAAATCTTTATTAATCTTGTTATTGATTATCTTGTTATCTGTTACCGTAATCTTCTCTGATTCTTACTTACTTTAGCATGCGGTTCCGCAAGGACACTTTCCGCTTGATCTAAAATTTCGGCTCTCAATTTCAAATTCACAACAAACTTGGCTGGATGCTGGCTGGATTCCAAGGTAGCCACGCCGAGGGTAATTGAGAAGAAGTTGAAGGGGGATACTCATTCGGAAGGAGCATACCCGGTGATCGTTTCAGTCTGAAAAGGGAAAAGGATTTTGATTCGGAAGGGACACTCTCGCGGCTCTCCGATTTCACGCACGCTCTGAGTCTATTCTGATTCGCAGAATAGAATAATACTATTCGATTCTGCAAGTTTATATTGACTGGCAGATCATATTAGAATCCTTTTGAATAGCTTTTTTTGGGAGCCTGACACTCGTGGTACTAACAAGGAAATATCAATTGGATTTGGTCGCCAAATGACATGTGCCACGGGTTATTTGACGCAAAATTCAACGCCGATTCCGAATCTGCTTTCCGTTTCTGCTGGAAACACCCGTGACACACCAGTTGGGGCGCCAGTTGGGGCACCAGTCATTTGGGCACCAGTTGGGGCACCAGTCATTTGGGCACCAGTTGGGGCACCAGTCATTTGGGCACCAGTTGGGGCACCAGTCATTTGGGCACCAGTTGGGGCACCAGTCATTTGGGCACCAGTTGGGGCACCAGTCATTTGGGCACCAGTTGACATTCCCTCGTAAGCTCTGGTATTGGGTCCTGACATTAGGATCTGGCAATAGGCTCTCATACTACTTCATGGTACTAATAGCAAGCCTTGCTGGCTTGCTACTAATAACAAGCCTTGCTACTAATAACAAGCCTTGCTATTAGACTCCAGTACCTGCATAGTCCTGTATTCTCATTTCTAGTTCCATTTTATTTTTTGGCCTACTACCAAAGTTCCAAGAGCTGCTTAGTAAGTAGAAAAATTTTGGTAGTAAATTTAAAATTTACTAGATATATTTCAAATAATAAACCATCAGAGCAGGAGAGCAGACAAGTGTTACGGGCAGGGTAGAAGCCAGTTTCTGACTTGACTTTTGGCCTTATTTGACTTGATTTGGTTTACCAGAAGCCTGGCTTAACCTAGTTTAACTTTTGAGCTTAAAAGCCTGATCAAAAGATCTTTTGTTCATAGTTGTGCAATTCAAAACCCCAATCCCAACCTTGGTGTCCCATCTTCAGGCGTTTTCTCCTGATCGAGTTCATTTCCCAGCACAGATGAGGGTTTCATGTCCTGAAAATGAATCAATCATATAACAATTCAACTAATCACTTCATCCTATCAACAATCTTCAACCAATAAATGAATCAATCAACTAATCAACAACTAATCAATTTCTTCAATTAATCAACAACTTCTTCTTAGTTTTATCACTTAAAACTTACATATTAGAATTTGTAATAAAAACTTTTACCTGAATGAGGAATGATGGTGAGTGCGCATCAGCAGATGATCCGACCAAGTGTTGCGACGGGGAGAGGCTGCTTGTCAACTCTGGAAATCATTATAAATTTCAATCTATCAACTATTAGAATAAATTTCACCTCTACTCGTCTCAATGATGCTTGTATCGTATAAGAATTTCGTTAATCGATACGAGTCCGATGTGCCTCCATAAACACTCTCCAACTAAAATGATATAGAAGATAAGAAGTTAAGAGTACAATCTTAATAATAGAATAAAATAGAATACATGCCAGAGGAGCGTTGCGTAGTCAACAAGTCACTGTACCTATTTTCTTGTGATCTCGTGAACCGAACGAAAACGGTTCAGAGGTTACGCAACGATCCTCTAGACTACGCAACGATCCTCTAGACTACGCAACAATCCTCCAGACTACGCAATAATCCCCTAGACTACGCAACGATCTTCTAGACTACGCAACAATCCTCTAGGCTACGCAATAATCCTCTAGACTACGCAATAATCTTCTAGACTACGCAATAATCCTCCAGACTACGCAACAATTCTCTAGACTACGCAGCAATCCTCTAGAATACGCAACAATCCTCTAGACTACGCAACAATCCTCTAGAATACGCAACAATCCTCTAGACTACGCAACAATCCTCTAGACTACGCAATAATCCTCTAGATTACGGTATATACAAACTAATACCAATTCCTGTTCAGGCGTCTTGGCTCTTGGCTGTGTAGCAGGAATGAGCTGCTCGCGAGGCACAGCTGTCGTTGGAGCAACAGCTGCTTTCGGCAAAGTGGATGAAGCTGAATTATAGAGTTTAAAAAATTCAATAGACTCGTAATCGGCCTACAATTGCCTGAGCTTCTTGAAATTTATCCAGTATTCTTGAATCAGCAAACTTTAGCTGCTTCTTTAACCAAGATTTTTAATACGAATAGCTAACTAATCAATTTCCCGCACAAATTCACAGCTGAATATCTTTTGGGCCATCTATAAAGCAAGAGAAATCCCTAAGCCTAAGCTTAAGCCTAAGCCCTGGCGAAGTTTTCCTTTTGGCGGCCGGGTAATCGTTCGGCGTCGGGCAAACCGTCTTGGTATATAGGGCTTCCTTTTTGGGAATCCGTAAAGGGGAGGAGAGATGAGCGACTGAGCCGGCTCTGTCGCTTTGAGATCAATGGGATCAATGGGATCAATGGGATCAATTTTGCGTTTAAATTTAGCTAAATTTAGCTGTATTTTTGTACAAATTCTAGATCCTATTCGACCATTGTTTTACTTAAACAGCAGCTAAACTTTGTTCGTCGAGTAGTTCGTTTTCCCGAAAACCTTTTTCTTTTTCAACGAACTTGTTCTCGAGACTTCCGGTGCAGGCCACGCGTACGAAGTGCTTGTCGAGGGGATCGGCCGAACCGTTGAAGAGGACATTGTTGAAGTAAACACCGGTTGAACGGTGCTAGTCGATGGAGTGGCTGTAACTGTGGTTGAAGTGGATGGAAGATCCGAGAAAGAGTAGGTCGGCACCACGTAGCCTAAAGATATTTGCATAATAAGTAAACTGTAGCTTACTGTAGTAAACTGAGATTACATTAGCTATGCAGTACTTTTCTATGAGAAATTGTAACCCGTTTTTACGTTTACCTTGGCTAACAATCGCACTTGGTTGCGAGTATGTCAATGAGTCGACAGTAGAGGCAATTGGACGAGCTGAAAGCTATTTGTATAAATATGAATATTCAGCTAACTTGTTCCCGAATAGAGACTACTGTAGGTGGGCATGGTGACCGCGGTTTTCTTTCCCATCCGCTCCTTTTCGATGATCTTTTTCTCTCGGCTATCTTGCTCGTACATTGACAGAATTGCTGCTGTGACTTCAGCTGCTTTTCGGCGCGCTCGTTCACGAGCTAAATTTTTAAGAGATGTTTTAAAGTAGACTTTTAACGAAAACATCTGTCGCCCCTTTTTTTGCCGTTGACAATTTAAGGTTTTTCTTGTTTTTCTTAGCATCAATCCTTCGATTCTGACTATTTTGACTATCATTCGATGCAGAATAAAATTGCGCATCGAATAATACCAAAATCAACTCAAAATATACTATCCATGCAAAGTTATGAGGCAAAATGTTAAGTCTCGCCCATAATGGGCGGGGTTTAGGTTTTTAGCCAACAACTTTGCATGGATATTATATTTTGAGTTGATTTTGGTATTATTCGATGCGCAATTTTATTCTGCATCGAATGATAGTCAAAATTGAAGGGTTGGTGCTAAGAAAAGCCTTAAATTGCCAACGGCAAAAAGGACCGACAGCTTTTTTCGATTTTGAAAATCGAAAAGAAGTCGATTTTGAAATACTGCTCTTATAGATTAGGTATAATTAAAAGTTCTCAAAGTGTTGCTTATCCAAAACCAGGCGAGCCGGATCTAGCTCATGGCTTGACTTGGGCTAATCTGGCTTTATCCGTGACCCGATTTCAAGCATGAAACGGATCTAGTCTTGGCTCAAGCCTGGCTTTATCCGTGATTCGATTTCAAGCTTGAAACGGATCTAGCCTTGCCTCAAGTCTGGCTTTATCCATGACCCGATTTCAAGCTTGAAACGGATCAAGCCTTGGCTCAACTCTGGCTTTACCCATGACCCGATTTCAAGCTTGATACGGATCTAGCCTTGGCTCAAGTCTGGCTTTACCCTAGTGCTTACTAGAGAGATTAAAGTAGCATCATTGTATCAATGTTTATCTATCTACAAATGATTTACCATGCAATTTCGCATCACCAGTCGTCGATTCTCCTTCAGACTCATCCTCTGGTATCGTGTAAACGGTGCCTAGAATTTGCAAAAAATTCGAACTTGAGTCTCTTTTCTCTCACCAGGTCGATGAGCGAATTGCCCAGGGCCGCCCTCATAGAAGCGTCGAACCTGCTCGAGATCCATATCTTCCATATCAATGCACTGAAATATTACATTTATAGTTAAATAAAATGGGGCAATGAGAATAGGCAAATGAGAATTTACAAAAATTGTTTACCACTTCTTCCTCTTCAGGACTATCGATGAATGGATTTCGTCGAGTCACTTCAGCAATGTCAAGAGGATCAGTGATCTGCAAAAAAAAATGATTTTGATTTAGGAATCTGTTTTGTCCGATCCCAAAATCCGATCCAATCAAAGAAAAAGAAACCATTTGCGTGCTGAGCTCATCAGGCATCGGAATGTTTGCTCCATTCAACGGGATCTGCGGTTGATGTGAGAGATCGGCTTGGTGATGGAGTGGCTCTTGTGAATGGATTGTCACAACCGTTTGTACAACTCGACGCTAGATGAAGATAGATATATTTTATAAAGCTCAGTCAGTAATAAAGTAGTAGTAGAGTAGCCTTACCACAGCCGTCTGCTCTTTCCCATTTTGAGTCCAGTGCACGTCGAACTCGTCGTTGGCGAGATCGGAAAGATGGCTGCTGTCACCAAAAGCCTAGATTTGATTACAATATTTACAATTACAATATTTACAATTACAATAATAACAATATATCAATGTTTGCAAAATTTTATAGTTTTAAGTCTTATACCTGAATCTGTCTGAGGACTTCTCTTCCAAATTGTTCTTGTTGTTCTCGTTCAGCCTCCACCTCATCGTAAGGCTTTGATGGAGCAATTGGAGCCGCAATTACCTGCAATTGATTTTGTAAATTATTGAAAACTTAACAATTTCTAGTACTTTATAGAAACTTTTCTCTTTTAAAGTAAATGCTTTTAGCTAGCTGTAACTTTAGCTAGTTGTAACTTTAGCTAGTTTTAACTTTAGCTACTTCAGCTTTAGCTACTTGTAACTTTAGCTAGTTGTAACTTTAGCTAGTTGTAACTTCAGCCTCACTGATCGCTTTTTAAATCTCCTTATAAGTAGCCTTTTTATTCAGGATAAAATATGGTTATTAGTGAAGTAAAGTTACGATCGGATCACTGCAGTTTTGTCAAGTTGGATTACTGTAGATAGTGCCGATTTTTGGACAGGCAATTGGACAGGCAATTGGACAGACGATTGGACAGACAACTGGATTACTGTAGCTATAGAACGCTTTTCATGGAACTTTTTGCATGAAGAACATAGCTAACCGTATCCGGATAATCCTCTTCATCAGAAGACGGCTCCGATTCATCACTGTCATCAGCGTTTCGATAAGAGAATTTTATTCTTCGAGCCGGTTTTTTTGGGGCAACAATTGGCTGGGTATGAGGCTGAGTTTGAGTTTGAGCTGCTGTCGTTTGAGCTGGTGTCGTTTGAGCGAATTTCCGCGTGGCCACCACCTCGGACACCGGGCTTGAGCTTGGCGGAGAGCTCTGAAAAGTATTGTATTCTTGAAATTCTCTGAACTTTTCGAATCAATAACTATATTACAGTAGTGGGTTGGGGGGGGGGGGGGGGGGGGGTTTTTAAGGGGGTTTTTAAAAAATTTTTTTTTAAATTTTTTTTTTTTTTTTTAAGGGTTTTTTTTTTTTTTTAAAAAAATATTTTTTTTATTTTTTTTTTTTTTTTTTTTTTTTTTTTTTTTTTATTTAAATTGGGTGGATTATAAAGGGAAAGGGTTAATTTTAATTTTTTTTTTTTTTTTTTTTATATTTTTTTTTTTTTTTTTTTAAAAATATTAGGGTTTTTTTATATATTATTTTTTAATTTTTTATTTTTTTTTTTTTTTTTTTTTTTTTTTTTTTTTTTTTTTTTTTTTTTGGGTTTTTTTTTTGTGTGGTTTTTTTTTTTTTTTTTTTTTTTTTTTTTTTTTTTTTTTTTTTTTTTTTTTTTTAGATAGAATTTACCTCAGGAGTGGTGACGGTTGAGGCAACGGGAGTGCTCGGCTTGATCACGATCTCGGGGACGCCGATTCTTTGAAGCTGAAAGATAGATTTGAAGATAACTTATCGCTTAATTGTAGATAGTAGAAGTTTTAGCTTAATCATACTGTAGGATAAGTACTGTGTAATAGTATAGCAAGGATTAGCAAAGATTGAAGTAGCAAAAGATTTGATAAAAAGGAAATTAACTAGAGAAGACTTTAAATCTCCAGCTCCAGCTTTCAGCGACGTCTAAAACTTTAAATTGTTACCGTACTATTTACTTTTACCGACATTAAACCATATTGTATGTCTGTTTTATCCAATTTTCAACACTCATACTTGAGATTGTTGCGGTGGAATGATCGGTCCCGAGTCAAATGCGATCTCTCGCAACTCGCGCAATCCACTTGGTTGTCGAATCTCCGGGATCACTCGTTGGTTTGGCTCTTCCTCTGTCGCAAACACATCGTAAACATCATCCATTTCAACAGCATCTAAATTCAAAAACAATTAATCTTTTGATATCAATTTTACCTAGAGGACTTGCAGCCGAATCGTAAAAAATCCGAGTTCTGGGCAGTCGTTGTGCTGGCACGGCTTGAGAGGGTTCTATAAGTTCAAGAATCAGAAATAAAGCTGTCAAATTTAGAGTTGTTAGCTCTCCCACCAGAATTTCTGAATTGATCATCGGGCATCTCACTCTCGTCCGTCTCAAAGACAGTTGTCCACATTCGGGGTCGTTGTGTTGAAGACCACGTTTGTTCCATCTGGAATCATTGTGTAGAGAGATACAGTAGTTGAACAGGCTGGGAGGTTGGGGAGGTTGGGAGGAGTTTGGGGCTGGGAACATAGACATACGGGATTCGAACCCGCAACCTCTCGCTTATCGGGCGAATGCTCTACCAACGTGCTACAGTATTTCATCGCCGCCGGGTGCCTTATACCCTACTCAATATTCCAGTTTTACATAAGGGGCCAGATAAAGGCAGATAGGCATGAGCAAGCAGGCCAGGGAGACCAGGAACAGGCCAGAAGACAGATCTTGGCTTGGCCTGGCACCAGCCCATAAAAAGTTTCCTGAGGCTGAACGAAGCTACAGGTCCTAGAACCCAGTTGGACAACCAGTTCAGGGTTGAGATTAGGGTAGGCATTAGATCACCAAGGCCTTACTGTAATTATTGTTTACCTCTTTCCATCTCGGATCTTCAAGCGCTTCGATGACTTGTTGTGTCTCCGGTTCCGATATCTTGAACCGATCATCGGCAAACGTGAAGTCAGCCTCTTCAAGACCATGCCTCAATTCCGTTGCCGCTGTCGTAATTCGCTGCTCGGCTGAGTCGGTTCTCGTCAATTCTTGGTGCTGAAAGTGCGCTTTAAAAGTTCAACGACAAAGCTAATAAAAGAGAATAAAAGAAATCTATAAAGAGAAGTTAAATCATAGTTTATTTTACATATAGATCTAAAGCTTCTAAGTTGTATCGATTTAATTGTTAGCCTCACCTTGTACTCGATTTCTTTCCTGCCCAATTCGCTCTGAACACTGCCCGATTGAGTGGTGAATCCACTGTCGGCCATGCTATCCGATCGACTGCTATTTCTCGCGAGATTCTCATAGAATGATCCAGAGTCAGATGTCTCGTAGAGGGATTCACGGGAAGAGACGGATATGATCGTTGAGTTCTCTCGGGAGACCTAAAAGAAAGAATGAGATTTTGGAATTGAAAAAAAAGCTGAGTTAACTGTTAGATCAGTTCACAAACCCTTCTTGGATGTACAGTGACTGCTTGTTGAAGGTTGATCCGTTCTCGTTCAAGTCGATCAGCCAGCAGCTCTGGTTCGGGCATTGTTGGTCTTGTTGATGGAGTGGATCGGGTAGCTGAATATCGTGTAAAGTTTAGTGCTAAGTACACCAAACCCATAGCTGGATCGTCTCCTTGCGCCATTCGAATCACCGCCAAGATTTGCTCTCGTTCAGCTGGTGGCAGATGGGAGAGGTCGAGATCCGGGATCTCATAGCTTCTCGGCTCTTCTTGAGATTGATATTGATCTGTTGATTCTGAAATTGATCCTGTTCAAGATATCAAAGAGTTTCTAGTGTAGTACCCCAGGACGGTACCCCAGGATTAGGGTAATTACTTTTTAGAAAACAATACAGACCTTGTTTTAGCTCGTACACCGGCTCTTCATAGATGGGCTCTTCAATCTCATACTCTCTTCTCATTTCCACGCTAAAACAAGTTTCCTTTATCTCTTAATTCTATACTTACTCTCTAGCAAATCCTTGAAGATTTTCAACAGATTTTGATGGAATTTTTCTTTCTATAAAAGTCGATTCAAATGTCGATGTTGAAGCAATTTGCTCATCAGCTACCGCCTCAGCCATCAATGCCAAGATTCGACGCCGCTCCTCATCCGGTAGATTTTCTAAGCCTAAATTTAATGAAGTTAAAAAGATCTACAACAATCGAACAATCGAACAATCTAACAATCTAACAATCGAACAATCTAACAGGTTTAGTTTTACCTTGAATATCTATTGTTGACAAGGGCAATGATGGAGAGACTGGTCTCAATCTTTCATCTGTTTTGATCAGTGTTGATGATTGAGTAAATGGTGATGACGTCATTGACTCGTCCATTGCCGCCAGATTCATCACTTCTAAATCAACTCGATTGAAAAATGATACGTCTCAAAAACGATAGTCTAGTTTTATCCAAGGTTACGATAGTTTTCAAAAAAGGATACGCTAGATCCCTTTCTCACCTTGTATCCGCCTTCTTTCCTCATCTGTCAACCCATCAAATGCTTCTTCAACAATTGGAGCTGGTGTGAAAGAGGGAGATTTTTGAAGGAACACTGGTTGAGGCTAAAATTCGAAATTTCAAGAGAATTTCACTGATCAAGTACCGCTGGCATCGACTCATCCATTGCCGCCATATTCATCACTTCTAGAAAATGAATTTGGATTTGGTGTACCAAAAAGGTTTACCTAGAATCTTTTGCCGCTCAGCGTCAGTCAATCCTTCTAATCCATCGATGGTTGGCTGTGGTGGTTGCGGGGATCTGATAGAGGGTTGTGATGATGGGGTGAATGAGGTGGATGCCATTGAGGAGTCCATCATTGCCGCTTGGTTCATGACGTCTAAAAGTTTGGTAACTGTAAGATAAATTTAAGACTGAAAATCAGTTCAATCTAGAAGACCTGTTATTCAATCTAATTCTATTGAATAGAATAAATAGGATCGGCTTCGGAGGGTCGGATCTAATCCAATCCAGTGCTGACCCCAGAGCCGATTCCAGAGCCCAGCAGAGCTCAGCCCAGCTCTTGTTTGTTAGCTTTTCCATTTTGCATTATAGATCTGATCCGAGTTTAGTGTTGGAAACATGTTTACTTTAATATTTCATGTTACAATAGATTTAAAAGCTATCACTGAATCAGATAGACAAACTTCAGATAAATCTTAGCTCTATTCAAATAGATCTATTCAAATATGTCTAGCTAAAGGATCAAATATGTTTAGGTTAAAATTTTAAAATAAAACTATAGATAAGCATAGTTGATAGAACTATAAACTCACGTCTAACTATAAACTACTGTTTTGGGATGAAGTACTTGATTGGTACCAGGCATGGAAAAATTCCAACTCAACCCTAATTCCACCTTCATTTTCACAGCCGTCTCTTGGCCGATTGTTCTGAAATTTTGCTTACAAATAGAAATGACCATTCTCTGCTTGTAGACAAAATTTCAAAGCAATCGGCGAAGAGACGGCTGAGAAAATGAAGGTGAAACTTTCCCATGTCTCTTTATCCTTTATTACTGAGCAATCAGCTTTTGGTAAGCATCCTTTTATGCTGAAAATTTCATTTTCTGAAAGCAAACCTAAAATTTTCCTTTGCTCTCCTTCGCTCAACCCTTCAAAACCATCCATTGGTGGGATCATCGGTGATTTTGGAGCAATATTTTGGGATTGCTTAATCGGAGGAATCGGTGATATCGACTGTTCGATCTCGGCAGCTCCCATCACCTAAATTAGCCACATTTTTTTTGATGGTCCTTTGAATTTTGTTATATACTTATTTTGTTTAAATTTATCGTCAAATTTAGAAACAATAAGAAACCTTTAAGATGTGCGCCTTTTCCTCTTCGGACAATCCTTCAAGTGGATCGATTTCTGCTGTAGTTGGACGCATTGATGAAGTCTGGGAAAGAGAGGAGACTGGACGGGAGATGCCCTAACATTTTACATCATATTTGAGTGATAATCGAAAATTTATGAATGGATCTTTGTTTAGGAGAATTTGTTTTCGGAGATCCGCTAGAGCTTTGTCCAGAAGCGCTCAATCAATTAAAAAAGAAGAAAACTCAGCAAAATCTTCAAGCTATATCATGGCTATAATGTGGATTGCGCGTCGAATGATACCAAAATCAACTCAAAACATAATATCCATGCAAAGCTATGAGGCAAAATGTTAAGTCTCGCCCATAATGGGCGGGGTTTAGGTTTTTAGCCAACAACTTTGCATGGATATTATATTTTGAGTTGATTTTGGTATTATTCGATGCGCAATGTTATTCTGCATTGAATGATAGTCAAAATTGAAGGGTTGGTGCTAAGAAAAGCCTTAAATTGCCAACGGCAAAAAGGACCGACAGCTTTTTTTCGTTAGAAGTCTATTTTGAAATACTGCTCTTATAGATTAGGTATAATTAAAAGTTCTCAAAGTGTTGATTATTCAAAACCAGGCGAGCCGGATCTAGCTCATGGCTTGACTTGGGCTAATCTGGCTTTATCCCGTGACCCGATTTCAAGCTTGAAACGGATCTAGCCTTGGCTCAAGTCTGACTGTTAAAGGCATTCATCCCGACCCCCTTTTTTCTGATCTCTTTGAATTCGGCTCTCTACGGGGCACCTCCAAGGCCAGAAGGGGGCCTTTTCTCATACGCCAACCTTCCGTTTCCTCTAAAAGCCCCCACAGTTTCTTTTTTAATCGAGTTATTAAATTCTGGAACATTTAAAATTAAAATTTACCTTCTCATGTTCGTGATTTTTCCACCTTGGCTAGATTTAAAGCCGCAATTTCGGCAATTCATTTGACTGCTCTGTGATTCTTTCTTGAGGTATCTATTTATCTTTTGGGTGTGTTTTGAGTGGTGTCCCGGGTAATTATTGTGATTTTGTTTTGTCGCTATTCAACTGAATCGGGCATATATATATATATGTTGTGTCCGATTTAGATTTCCGTCCGATTTAGATTCAATCTAAATCGGACGTCCGATATAGACTGTAATCTAAATCGGACGTCCGCGATAAGTTCAATCTAAATCGGACACAACATATATATAATGAAATTTTTGCTAAAAAAGTTTGATTTAATTAGGTTAAACTTTTAGATAAATTTATTCAAAGTCTTTTAACGAACTCTTTCATTCTTTACTTCTATATACTTCTATACTTGTTACGTCTATAAATTCTATACTTGTCTACCTTCTAATAATCTAGTTTTAACGAGAATCGATCCTTATTCGGTCTCTTTCATGAAGACTTCTATACTTGTTACTTCTATAAACTCTATACTTGTCTATCTGCTAGTAATCTAGCTTTAATGAGAATCGATCCTTATTCGGTCTCTTTCATGAAGACTTTCTATAAATTCTATACTTATTTACCTGCTAGTAATCTAGTTTTAACGAGAATAGATCCTTATTCGGTTTCTTTCATGAAGACTTCTATACTTGTTACTTCTATAAATTCTATACTTTCATTAACCCAAAATTTAAAAGGAAACTTTTGAATAAATTTATCGAAAAGTTGAGCCTAAATCAATCGAACTTTTAATGAGAATCGATCCTTAATCTCTTTCTTTTCTCGATCTCTTTCTTTAAGATAAACATTAACCCAAATTTCCCCTAAATACTAGTTAGTATTTAGAGATAAATTAAGCATTTTTACCATGTGGATCTGTAGGAAAATAAAAGTTATCCCATTACTTTATGCTATACTTATAGCTTGTGATGTTAAAGTACGCTTTAGCATCCCAGTATGTCGGCTTATTCAAAAACGACTGCGTCAAAGTTCTTTGTCATAGTCATAGACATAGTCAAAGCTCTGAACAAACTTGTTTTGGTGGTTGCATTGAAGTGGATGATTGTGATGGGATTTGTGGCTGGAATGTTGTTTCCCCTTCAGCCGCTCGCATCACCGCCATGATCTGCTCTCGCTCGGCTGCCGAGAGATCCTCCATACCGGGTGGAATTGGACCGGCCATCGATGGAGTTGGTTGGGTGGGCTAAAGAGTGTTCTATTAGATTGATCTGAGACTTCTGAGATAAACTTCTGTGACAAAACTTAGTTTGTCTTTCTTTTATTGAATGGATCGTAAAGGGTGGCCGACAATTATAACGCCACACTTCAAAAGGCCTAGATTGATCAAAATTTGGTCTAGTTTGGTCTAGATCGTTCTGATTTTTCTGGAGATAAATCTTAAGGTTGTCTTCTAGAACTTTGCCCATCATCTAATCAATTTAAGCTTTCAACTTTTTTATATAACTTTCCAAAGTTGAGAGTCGAGTGTCGCTCGGCACGCTACTAATTTATGAGATTTTTGAGATCATTCTTGTCAAAATCTCGTTAAGATTGAATTTATAATGTAAATAAACAAAATTTCACATTCTTTACGCAGTTTAAGCGCAAAAACTTCTTCAAAAATGTCACTAAAAGGCATCTAATATGGACTGTTTTCTCTTAAACGATTTATTGAGCATTCAGTCACTAAAGAACAAGAGAATCTTATTTTTTCGCTTTTAAATTTTGTAAATAAATATGATTAATTGAAAGACAATTGAAAGACATTAATTTTTCATATTAAATATTAATAATTAAAACATTAAAGCATTAAAATAAGACTTTTTATGAAAATGAAACTTTCAAAATCCCAAAAATGTGCCGAGCGACAGTCGACTCTCAACTTTGGAAAGCTATACCAAAAAATTGAAAGCTTGAATCGATTAGATAATGGGCAAAGGTCTAGGAGACATACTTAAGATTTTCATCCAGAAAAATCAGAACAATTGACGAAATTTTGGCCAATCTAGGCTCTCATTTCAACATCAAAAATTTCATTTCAACATCAATACCTGAAAGAAGAAGAAAATTTTGCAAGTAATGCATAGTAAGAATAAAAAGAGAATTGTTAAAGATTTTGGAAAGATTATCTTGATACACCGTATTCTCTCTAATAGTAGTGCACCCTGAGCGTCGCCTAAATTGCTTGAAGAACCGCTTATCAGAACCTTATCTCGAGAACCGCTTATCAGAACCTATCGATGTGGGGTCGGAAAATGTAGCTGACGATGAGATCTTGTGGGGGATTAGTGTTGAGCTTCTGCAAAAGCTTGGAAGCCGTAAAATAGTCACCAACTCGGCTCGTCGGAGTTCACTACTATTAGAGAGAATTAGACTGATGATATCAATAATTTATCAGGTATTAAAAGATACTATCGATTTATTCGTCTAGTCTCTAACTAGTGTCACTCTAAAGGCTAATGCGTCTTCTAAAGTCTGTCAACTTTCAATGACTAGTGATCTTACATCTAGCTTTACCTAGTTTACCGTATTCTCTCTTAAAGGAGTGCACCCCGAGCTTTATCTAAATTGCTCGAAATCTCGAGAACCGCTTATCAGAACCTATCGATGTGGGGTCGGAAAATGTAGCTGACGATGAGATCTTGTGGGGGATTAGTGTTGAGCTTCTGCAAAAGCTTGGAAACCGTAAAATAGTCGCCAACTTGGCTCGGCGGGGTGCACTACTATTAGAGAAAATACGGTATCTATTTTTGGGCTGTATTTAAAAAGCAAGCTAAAAGATATAAAAGTAAATAGATTGAAACTGGTTACGGTAATTTTGTTGAGTTCTGGTTACAGTACAAGTTTACGATATTTTTCTAAAGTATAATCCTTTGTTAATTCTTAAAAAATTGTATCTATTCGTTGCTAGAGTTGATCAATTGAAATTGAACGACCAAAATCTAGAATGACTTCTAGGTAAAGCCAAAAAGATTGTCTCTGAAAAAGATTATGGAGACTTTCCATGAGCAAATACCCGAAAACTACTCAAAAACTGACTCAAAGGAGAAATGAAACAAGTTAGAAAAAGAAAAACAAATAAATCAGTTCAAAAAAAGCTCACAATCAGTTTGTAGAACAATAAATGATTGGGAAAAAAACGAAAAATAAGAAATTGAATCAAAGACAAAGAGATCAGCAATTCTGAAACAAATTGAAAATTTTTTATTTGATCACTAGTCAACTATTAGTCATTTAATGTGAGCTTGACTTGTGTAAATCTTCCAAATCAACTCTAAGATGGGACTATTGGTAAGGAAAAGTGAGAATAAAGTGCATACTTTTGCATGCATACACTTTTGATCTAGGTTTTCAAAGAAAAAAAGGCTAGTTAAAGCTAAAACAAGTTAAATTTAAATTGCAAAAATATTCACTGAAGACTTTAAGTTGATTTAAAAAGGATTTATAAAAAGAGTTGAAATTGAAAACATATCTATGTAAACAGTTTCATTAACAATAACGAAATGTTATTTAAGATTTGAAAAGGTTTTTGATTATGATAAAGTAAAAGGTGTGGCAGAATTTTTGCAACTGCCTCAGGGCATCAATTTTAGTTCCATCAATCTCAAAATACTTAAGAAAGATCCTCTGTGACCCAAAAACCACCTTGGCAACAGGATTTGGATTTGGCTTTGGATTTGGCTTTGGATGGCTTTGGATTCGGAGTTGATGCTTATGCTCAAAAAGGCTCTGGCGTAAGCAGCTCTGGCGTAAGCAGCTCTGGCGCAAGCAGCTCTGGCGCAAGCAGCTCTGGCGCAAGCAGCTCTGGCGCAAGCAGCTCTGGCGCAAGCAGCTCTGGCGCAAGCAGCTCTGGCGCAAGCAGCTCTGGCGCAAGCAGCTCTGGCGCAAGCAGCTCTGGCGCAAGCAGCTCTGGCGCAAGCAGCTCTGGCGCAAGCAGCTCTGGCGCAAGCAGCTCTGGCGCAAGCAGCTCTGGCGCAAGCAGCTCTGGCGCAAGCAGCTCTGGCGCAAGCAGCTCTGGCGCAAGCAGCATTTTCCTGATTTAATCATTTTTAGTGGTCACCCTCAAATTCCGATCTTAAACCAATTGATTTCAGTGTTTGAAATGTTCGTGAAGCAAAAAAACATGCTCAAAACCGCATTCCAGCATCATTTCGCTTAAGAAATCTCTTCAAAAGATTTTGGGACATTTGATACGCGCCCCTGATCACCCATGATCTCTTCCGACTAAATTACCCTTGTCCAACTGAGTTTTCAAAAGCTTTCAATTTCGGTACGAGACGGGTCCGGTCCTGTACACTTGTCCTGTACACTTGTCCTATACACTTGTCCTATACACTTGTCACTTTAAAACAGTTTTGGCCATCCTCAAATTCCGATCTTAATCCAATTGAAGCAAATCTTTTCCGACTAAATTCTTTTCCCTGATCTTCCGACTAAATTACCCTTGTCCAACTGAGTTTTCAAAAGGTTTAAAGCAAAAGCTTTCAATTTCGGGATGATCCGGTTCTCCTGCAGACTTGTCACTTTAAAACAATTCTAATAAACTGGATTTAGGTTATAGTTTTAGAACCAAGAATGACCAATGACTATGACTATGAGTACCAATAGTGTTAAGATAAGAACTTTGGGTTTTCAACTTAACCCAACCCAATGATACTTACAGTCAAGTAATGTTGGCCAAACGTAAGGAAAAGTGATTAGAAATCAATGTAAAGAATCAAATTGGCAATCTAACTTTAAGCTCAAATATCTTGAGGTTGGGCTATCCAATTTAAATCGTTTTTGTACCAATCGACAGAAAAAGACTTGACGCATCTAATGATACCAAGAAAATTCAAATTGAACAACCCAACACCAAGAAGTTTGAGCTCAAAGTTGGATTGTCAATCGTTTTAGAGACAGATTAAACGTTCAAAAGAATTCTAAAAGAAAGATATTCAATCAATGAATAAAATGAGCTCAAGCGTTGAACTTTGAGCTCAAATTTCTTTGTGTTGGGCTGTTCAATTTAAATAGTTTTTGTACGAATCGATAGAGAAAGATTTAGCGCATCGAATGATACCAAGAAAATTCAAATTGAACAAATCAACACCAAGATATTTGAACTCAGAGTTGGATGGCCACTGACAAAAAGGGGAGGGCGCGTATAAAAGGTCGATCTCCACCTCTTTGCCATTGGCAATCTAACTTTAAGCTCAAATTTATTGGTGTTGAGCTATTCAATTTCAATAGTTTTTGTAGCAATCGACAGAAAAAGACTTGGCGCATCTAATGATACCAAGAAAATTCAAATTGAACAACCCAACACCAAGAAGTTTGAGCTCAAAGTTGGATTGTCAATCGCAATGTGATAAAGCTCGATCCCGTTTACCATCCAAATGTCACTAGACTTGCATTTCTGCCCATAGAGATCTTTTTAAAAGAAAGTAGTTACCTTATATCTTTAAAAATCTATTGTTAAATTTTTTAAGGTGATTTCTCTTTTATCGGTTTCTATTCTTAAAAGATAATGATTTCAATAATCCTGCCGCATGCTGTATTTGGTATCAAATAAAGCTTCTAACTATTGGGTTGTCCAGTTATGAATGCGCGTTTTTTGCTATTTGGGAAATTCCTCAAGATACCGAAATCAAGAAAAAGATATATATGAGTATTATTCGAAAGCTGAAGATCTCCTCTACATTTTGATATAAAAAGTTTTTGAATTTGCCCAGCTTTTGGGCGAATCGACTGCACAGAAGAAGAGGTGGCCAAAAAATGTAAGGGTGCCTTTGGATCAGGTTTTGGCTCCGCTCAAATTGAGTTAACGGTTTGATGTTTGACCAATAGATATATCAATACAACTTTTTAAAAATATAACAATTTCAGAGCATCTTTACTCTTCTGTTCTTTTCTGGGCGATTATTTTACACCGTAAAACTTGAGGAATAGCTAAGCTGGAATGGGTTTTTTCGAAAACGACCTCTCCCTTTGTGCAGTCAATTTCCTAAAAAGTTGAATGAATTCAAAAACTTTTTTGATTCCAAAATGTAGAGGAGATTTTCAGCTTTCGAATGATATATAACACTCATATACATCTGTTCGATATCTTGAGAAATTTACAAAATAGTAAAAACGCGCATTCATAACTGGACAACCCAATATATTAGGTTGATGCAAAAGTCTTTTCCATTTTTTTCGTACTTCTGTTAAAAAGTAACAAAT